GTCTAAAAACTCTCAAAAAATGCAATTAAATCCTAAAACTTGTCACGAAGTGAAATTGAATCATAAAATTTTTAAAAAGTGCAATCAAGTTCCTAAAAATTGTCAAGTTGATCCAATTAATTCTTTTCTTTGGTTGCATTTTTTGAAATTTTTAGGACTTGATTGCACTTTTGTGACAAGTTTTAAAATTTGATGGCACTTTTTAAATGTTGTAGGAATATATTGCACTTTCGTAACAAGTTTTAGGACTTTATTGTAATTTTTGAACGTTTTATGATTTAATTACACTTTTATGATAAATTTTAGAACTTCAAATGCACGTATCCCTTATTTCTCTAATTGACAACTTTCTAAGGTAAGGCCCACAATTTTCCAAAATTAAAGAGTCAGCCCAATTGATTAGATTGATCCCTGAACTTAAACTGGCACTTTACAAGCCCATTCTATCAAACCAACTTAAGCAATATGAAACTAATATGATTGGAAAGCTCTTGAAGTCCCCTAAAACTCTCTAGTTTATCACTTTCTGAAATTTTCATGTTAAGAATCTATCATCTTAAGATTTTTAAGATATGTCAGTTAGGCCACCTAATTTGGTTTAACTGATTTCAACCGAGACCATGGGGGGCTTAGCCTGGGAACATGATGTCCAATTTTGGCCCATAATATATCAAATCGAAGTCCCAGACATTCTCTACATTTCATTAATGATTTTCCTTAATTTTGCCATTTACTAATTGAAATTTCCTCGCTACTATAGAGAATTTCAATAAGAGAATTTCCTAATTACTACACAGGACTCTAAATCAGAGAATTTCAATTAAGCCATTCATCAGCACTAAGTGTCCAAATCTTAAAACTGACTCTATTGAATCCAATTTAAGCTTGATCGACCTCATTCAACACTCAATTGACAACATTTAACATCATCAATCGATCAAACCTAAAGCACATGACAAATTTTGTGAAGAATCAACACATCATCAAATCGGTTTCCCTTAAAATGAACATACACACTTTTCATCAATCTCCTCCCCCACTCAAGCTCAAATTCAAGTTCAATTGAACCTTAGGAACTTCAGCTAGCGGGTAGTTTGATCCTATAACAAGCCCTAATGATCAAAGCAAGTTCTATGAATTTCTAATACATAAAATCAATTTCTGGCAACTTTGTCAAAATTCCAACACGCTTCATTAAAGCTTAACAAGTTCACTCGATTTCTCTACAAATTCAACAAGCTTCAACCAAATTCTAACACATTCAAGACATAATAGAGGTATGGATTGAAGACACATTGAACTTCAAACATCATTTCAAAGAGAATCACCATAGATCATTTGAGCTTGTATCTATTTCATGCATGGAGATAGTAGGCCACACCTAGAGCATGCAATTCCTAAACATCACAAGCTTATTTAAATAATATCAATCCACAAATCATGCTCATCATGCCTTATTCAAGATGTTCAGCTCATAGATTGAAGTTAAACCTCAATTCCTAAACTACAATTGTAAAAAAAAAAAAAATGGAGAGGGAATTGTGTATTGAAGTGAGTGTTTTCTTGTGAGCCCCTCCCAAAAAATCAAAGTGGCGTCCAATTGCTTGTTTTGGAAGGAAAGAAAGAGTTCTTTTTTGGTGCACCTATTCTCAACCATTAAATGTAATGATAATCCAATGGCTGAGACTTTTGCTTGGGGATAAAGGCCTCGTAGAGAAGGAGAATATTATTTTGCCTTCTAATTGGCTAGCCAATCATTTGCAAGGATAAGTTTTAGTGACTTGTTCAAGAATGAGTGGTTACAATTACAAATTAATCAAGGGCTTAGATTAATTGGCTGATGGGCAAGGGAATTGACCAAGGAAGAGTCAAATTGCCTTCTAAGTGATAAAATGGGCGCCGGATTGATGGTTTATTGGGCCGAGCTTAATGGTTGAGGGTTGGGTCAGACCGGGCCAGGTCCTCATGACCATTCCTCATATTCAGTATTTGTCCTAGGTGCTAGGTACACCATGCAATTGTATTTATTAAGCCCAATTTGACCAAAAAAAATTAAGTTGACTTTATCATAAAAGGTCAACCAATGATCATTAATGCTCTTCTAAGATTGATTGGCTCCCGAAGCTTTGTTGGTCAAAATTTTGGTAATCGGATCCAAAATCTCTAAACTGTATTGTCTCGGAGCAAATCTGCAGAAGAAAACATATCGAAAAAAATAATCACAAAACAATGGAATTACGACATTTTCAATTGAATGTTAAATTTTGTCAAATTGACTAAAAGGTCAATCGAAAATTTTACTCTTTGACTTATTCATGAATGGCCTATGAAATGTGATTTAAATGCTATGAATCTATTCAATATGTGTGGATAGAGTGTAATGAATACAGAGTTGCATAAGTTGACTATTTTTTTTGGTTGAGGATCAAAATCTGTCACGATAAGAGATATTGAAATTTGAAATGATTTTTTTTATAAATGTACGTTTGACTTGTCAGAGAAATTCAATGATCAACAATTGTCATCTTCAAAATATCATAGATGATTTTCTCAATATTGGTTAGTGGGCATTTAGAACGTTCTTGGTTGATCCGAGCCTCCACTAGTCAGTTTTTTATTTTCCCTCATCTTATGTCATTTTAAGTTGCGTTTGGTCGTATGGATCTTTAGTCAAGATAGGACTTAATATGATAAGAAATCAAAAATTTTGTTGTATCATATCCACTGTTTGGTAAATCGCAATAATAATGCTAAAAATTTTCGTATCCTATCTTATTCATTGTTCGGTTTGAATGACATGTTAGTGTAAATGAATCTGAAAAAGCACAAATGGAGACGGTAAGAATTTCTAATGATTCACAGCTAAAGAAATCACAAATTCACAAATATAGATAACTTCCATCGATCAATCCAAGATTATTGGACGATGTGAATCTTAAATAGCAAATAAGCTCATTGCAGCATCCTAGAGTTATATCTTCGACTACGACAATAAATGTAAACGAGCACCAACAAGATCAACGAGGTAAGTCAGCTAGCGAATGTTAAATCAAGTAAGAGAGTGAAAACACAATCATTCATCTTCGCACTTCTGAAAAATATAGTGCTTCGTCTCTTTCCCCACTTTTGTGAAGCTTCAACGTGAACTAGAGAGCTAGAGGGAAAAGGAGTTTAGACTCTTTTGATACTTTCGCAAACTTTTGATGTGAGCTACAGAATTGCGAAAGAGAAAGAGTTTCAACTCTCCCGCCATTTTCGTGGAGCTTTGACTTGAATCAAAAAATTATGAAGGAGAATGACACGAAGAGTGTAGGTATTTTTAAAATCTCATTGCCCTTGATTCCTCAAAAATTAGAAAGATCATCTTTAAATTTGAATTTGTTCCTTCAAAATATGGGTTCTTTTACTTTTTTTTATTTATTTATTATTTTCCCTTTCTTTTTTTTAATTCTTTTTTATTTCCTTCCGTCATTCCTTAATCCTATTTTATTAAATAATCAACTATACTAATATACCTAAAATATGTAGTAAATATACATATTAAATATATAAAAAAGAATATATTATAGAACAGAAAGAAATTCACATTTATATAGGAATAAATTAAAACAAAAATTGTTTTTTATTTTGAATTTTTTTATAATAGAATTTAATTATTATTTAATTATTATTAATTTAAAAAGTTTGTTATTTGAAAAAAAAAATAGCTTTTATATCATGGATATAAGAAATCATATTCATCTTTATCCTACCTCATCATGGGATATTTTTATCTAGACTATATCCCCATATATCCCACATTATTCTATTTATCCCGTCTTGAATAGGGGCCGAACACAAGATATGATGAATTTTATCTTATCTAGACTTTTATCCTGCCTACCAAACATAACTTTATGATCTATTTGAGATTACTTTTACCGTAGAAGTATCGAGGACATCCAGCATGGTTAAACACGTAATCCAAACATAATTTTTCAGGTAACTTTCGAGTCACCTCTGATTAACTGTTCACTTTGCAGGAATTCATGATGTGGCAAGGATTAGTCAAATCATCTCTCCACTTGAAGCTGTGATTTTTATATTTTTGCTTTTTTTATGGCAGCATGTTAACAAATGATCATGTGTCGACTTAGAGTTTTCCTTCATAGGATAAAACATTATAAAAAAAAAAGTAATTTTACTGCATTCCATGATAGAAATAGTATTCACTAGTTCCGTAAGTTATACTAGTCTTGGCTAAGTGTTCTAGTTCCAATATCTTTGCTTGTTTATTGATTTCATTCATTAAAATCTTGGATTGTTTAAGAAGGATATTTTATATATAAGAAAACATAGAAAAAAGAGTTTACTTGATTGCATTTAGCATTTTCCTGTCTGGCCAGTCTCGCTAGCATTTACTAGTTTCAGTTTTTTTCTCCTAGAATATGAATGTCATTCACACCCATGCAATTAAATTATTATAATTGATTTATCATTATCATTAGGGGTGAGGATCGTTCGGGTGGGTGGTGGTTCCCACCCTGGAACCGGGATCTGCCCGTCGGTTCCATGGTTCGGGCGGTTTCCGGTTCCTTTATATACCCCTAATTATCATGCTCGTGTAGCTTTAGTTAGGGATTTCACGAATTAGCATCATCTTTGCACATTTAAAGCAGTTGCATCGTTACTTGCCATTTTTCAGATATCATGAATTAGGAAAGACATCGAAAATACATGTTTGCATATATTAGATTTAAGACACATTTCCTAAAGATAAATTCTCAAAATAAATGTTTCATTCGGGATCACACACAACTAAACCAAAACAATAAGCCCATCTTCTTAAGCAGAAGAACGAGTTAAACGGGCGAGAATCTAGGCCCGCCCAATCAAATGCTTGGGCCCACAGCTCGCGGATCAGGCCCGTTCACGATGGAGCGGGCCCAATAGGCCCAATGGTTGAGGACCGTTTTGGTAATTTTACCTTTCCTCTTCTCTGCTTTTCGGGGAAGCTACGCGCACCGCCTCTTCAAGTCTTCCCGATGGATTCGTTGAGAAACGGTTAAGCTTTCCGTTCAAGCTAGGATTTCCGGATCGACGGCGATGGAGTCCGAGAAGTCCAAAGCCGTGATCGGCGTCGTGCGAGCGTCCAGGCCTCTCTTCCGGAGCCGGCACGACCGCCTCGCTTTCGCCGTCCACGCGTCCTTCCTCGCCTCCGGCTACTCCCTCGCCGCCACCGGACGCGCCGCCTACGCCGCCGACGCTCTCTCCTCCTCCGCCGGTGAGTATGTTCGAGCGTCGTCCTGTTCTCGAAACGGATTTCTCTGACCTAAGAGCTTCGGATTTTTGGTTCCTGGTCGTTCCAGAGGAGGTCGGGATCGAGCGCTGGAACGAGGCCGATGACGAGTATGCGTTCGTGTACGTGAGTCCCGAGGACTCGAAGAAAGTCTTGGTGAAGTGTCTCGCGATGGACGACAAGCTGGCCGTGGATGCTTTGAAAGACGGGGCTGCTGAGCCTGTTCATCTCGAAATTGAGTATGCTGTACTACACTTTCGAGCATCTTCTGTTTGGTTCTTCGCTTTTCGGTTCTAAATTCTTGATTGCTCGATGTTTTGCATCGCCGACTGGCAGTATCGATGAGTTCATTGTGGAGGATGGAGCCGCGAGTTACTCTGGTCAGTTCAAAAATCTGGATAAGTTGGTGAAGAGTTTGGATACGGAGATATTGTCGAAATTGGATGGCTCATCGAGGCCTAGTTCGTCGACGAATGCTGTCGGGTAATTTGGTTTGTTTTATGTATTATGCCGATGGCGCCGTTTAGGTAATTTATTTTGCTTAGGAAGATAGTTCTTTTGACTGTGGATGAGATTGATAAGCAAGGGGAAAGGATGCACCTTTGCACGAGTGGATGAAAAAAATTTGGTTGCTGTGGAATTTTATCGAATTCCATCTCAGAATTTGACGCTGTTTTGGCTCTAAAACATAGCTCGAGATTTATGGAGTGCTGTCGGAGGGTCTTGCAGTATATTACCTAGTTGTCTGTGCTTTTTATTTTTTTGGTTATTTTCCAAGTTTGAACGTGTATGAATTCATTTGAGGATGACTGAAATGCAGTCCCATACTTGACTGAGCTGGATCATGGTGTTCGTATTTGTTTAAAAACGATAAATTTTTTTCTTTTACCACTTTTACTTGGCAATGAAGTTAGATGATTTGTGCATTGCATTTATACACCAGTCAAGACCATAAATGCTTATGCATTGGGGATGCTTGTTTTAACTGCTCTTCTAAATTGTATGAGAGTGATCTGATGACTAAGAAGTCTGCCAAAGTTTTGTCAAGGGGGAAGACAATGTAGTGCTGTCAATCAAGAAAGTTGCTTGGGGAAATACTTTTTGATTTCTTCCCTTGGCTCAAATCGAGAACATCCGGTTTGGTCTGGCTCTAGCCTTTTGACTTTAGCTATGCTTCTGACTCTTTCTTGTCTTAGTTGGAGGGGTTCTATATGTAATCTTTTACTTGCTTAATATGTTCCATGGAAAAGGGGTACCGACTGAATTATAAAAGTAAATGACGATTTTGGTCTTTGAATATACTTCCTATGCCCGGCCAGAGAAGTTCATTCTGCAATTCTATGTGATTTACTCCTTCTCTTTTGTTGGAAATATGATTTTGCCATGGTATGATCATGTCCTATTTAACTTTTATGAACTTCTTGTTTGGGCACAAGCAAGTATTATATAGTTATTTGACTTGAATCTCATTTGATGCAATTAAGCTGTCTGTGTGAATTGGGAGATAGGTCTTCAAATCCTTTCCATTCTATGTTGTAGAGGACCTCGTTTACTCTGCGTAATGATCTATATGCATACGTACTTGCATGTGTTGTATGGTGTGTTATAATCTCTTCTCCAATGAGAAATGCTTGATAATGGTCTTATCGAGTATCCTGTGTTCCACATGAAAACAAACAATTGTTTAGAATGTGAGTTGGTTTCTAGTGATGAAGTCTATCAAATTGATCATTCACTTGTTCTGCTATTGTCATATAAGGCAGCGACACTATGGGCATTTAAGGTACAGCGGTGGGTAAAATGAAGTTTTAGATGATTGCCTGCTTTAACATGTGCGTTCCTTTTGGATGCATAGCTAGATTTTGCATTGAGTCAGATTTTTCATCTTCATTTCTACGCTTTATATATTAAAGGATGTCTTCTTCATTTTCAGAAGAGAAAATAGTGAAGGATCGAGACAACGTATCAATGAGCCTGGTCTTGCACCTCGTGAACCTTGGAGTCCACAAGTTCATCCTTCAGGGTCTCTCTCTCTCTCTCTCTCTCTCTCTCTCTCTGTTTGTGCCCTCGCGTGCAAAGATCCTGACAATCTTATCCAGTGTCTTTTAAACTGAGGGCAATGAAAGTACCTAATTACTGCTAGAATTTTGGTTTGAGAGACGTGAAAGCTGAACTGCTAATGTTGACAAGTTCCTAAGGTTGTCCTATTTTGAAAATCTATTGCATCTAGAATGTTGCACACTGAAGTATTTAACATTGTCCCCTTGGAGTTGCTGTACAGCAAGTCTAATTATTTTTGCTCTATGAGACTCTTGATAATAATTATCTTCTCCATTACTCTTGTCAGCTATGGAACACAATAAAGGGGTGGGAAATGCCTACATTGTGATATGGCAGTTCTGGTGAATTCAATGTTGCTGGAACAGGATATAGCCAGAATAACTGAACAGGAGAGACGTAGAAAAAGCAAGTAACATAGAATGAATATGTATCAGTCTCTTATCAATATAACAAAATGTGGGAGGAGCTCTCTATACCGTGGATAACAAGAGTTTAAGGATCAACATATATTCTGTTCTGTGATGTGTGGAAGATGAGAGTATTGCATGTTTAAATATGATATTCATGAATTGGTTCGGGTGTGAAGTAGTAGTTGGATAGCCAGCTTAGAGCAGTATAATCCTCTTTGTCTATGAGACCTCTTTGTTTGGTTCATATAGGAAATATCTTGCCACTTCCGATTATATGCAAGTAGATTGTGTGAATTCTTATCTATCAAAATGTTTTTCAATAAGCCTACCTTCTCACTTATTTTGATATGTTGTACCATAATTTTTGCCCGAAAGGAAAAAGGTTAGTGTTCTATTGTTGCTTCTTGCATTGAATGCTTTTTTGGTTTCTTTCCTCTCTCTCTCTCACTCTCTTTCTTTTTGTGCACAGAGTTGTATGTCCTCCTGTTTATCCTCTTGGTGGCAACGACCTTTTTCCTGGGCCTGGGGCCGGAATGTACCCAACCAGGTTCCTTGCTGATCTTTGCTTATTATACTTTTTTATTAATGCTTGGCGTTCCCTGATTGATTAGAGATGATTTTTCTTTAATTTTTAATGCAGGGGTGGTTATGGTAGCAGTGGGAGTATCCTTTTAGGTTTGTGTAGTTTCTTTGTAAATTAATCATTTATAGTTCTTTCACAATCACTGTTTTTCGAGAGGTTAACAAGTGTAGCAATCTGAGCATACAGGACCCAATGATCCCAGTTGGTTTGGCGGAGATGCTGGACACCCTGGTTTCCCCGGAGCCCAACCGTGAGTGTCTTCTCTCCCTGTCTCCCTGTCTCCTCTCTTTGTGTGCGCACACGCCTGTTGACCTCCACTTGATCATTTGAAACAGAGGTGTCCCTCCGGGTGCTCGTTTTGATCCATATGGTCCACCTGGTGTGCCTGGTTTTGAGCCTAGTCGATTTGTCAGGTAGTTATATCTTCTTTCCTTGACAATTGATTGACTTCTCTTATCTGGAGTCTGGTCTCACATACTCATTTCATTTGTGGCCAATAGACATTCTAGTGTCTCGTTTTACTGGAGTTTGGTGTGGGAATCGATTGTGACGGATTAATAAAAAGAGAGAGACAAGGCCATGGAGTATAAACGCATGTTCAAATTTCTAATATGAGGTTTTGCAGGGTTAAGAAAATCTTGTTTTTGGTCATTTGGCTAATAGCTTAGGAAGGCAATAATAATGAAAGGAGCAAACTAATACACAGTTACAATCTATAAGTGGTGATTCAGTTAAATGATAGCTTAAATGTTTTTGTTGGGCGAGACTGAGAGAATCTTCATTTTGAATGAATCCAATGTTCGTATCAATTCTGATTGCGTGATGGAATGCCGATTCCATGTGGGCTTAGATTTTTCTTTTCTTTTGAAATTTAAATTAGTCTTTTACGTCTTTGCCAAACTTCATACCTACAGAAACCCGAGGAGACCTGGTGGCGGGACACACCCAGACTTGGAGCACTTCCGGGACGGTTCGGATTTCATCTGAATCTAACAGTTTGTAGATTCTAGCCTTTTCTATGAGAAGACAATCCAAATGGAAGAGAGATGGCAAGAGTCAAATGTTGCTGCTCAGAAACATTCTCCTTTTCCCCCTTTCTTAGTCCTTATAATCTGGCTTTCTGTCTGCCTGAGTCGAATGGTTCTGTATATTATTATGTCGATAAGTTTTTCATTGTGATGGTAACGGTTTAATTTGCGTTGCAACTTCGAATGTGAAAACTTGGCTCTGGCGCATCCTGCCGATCTCTTAGCTGCGGCGGATGAGTTTTTTCTTCAATAGCCTTTAACATGTGAAATTTTTCACGGTAAACAAATGTTGATACTTAAATTTATATTTATATATACACACACATTTGCATGATCTTTTTTAAAATTTGTATAATAGTTAAATTTTCACGGGAGAGCAAAAACGGATTTGTTAGTAAAATTTAGTTTGAAACCGGTCTGGTTTAAAACAAACAACAATTGTAAGGGTGAGTAAAAGAATTGGACCGAACTAGACCAAAATGGCCGGTTCTGGGTGATTCTGCAGGAATCAGTCTGGCTCCCTATTTTTAAAATTTGAAATCGGTGAATATAGGTCTGATTTTTAGTTTCAGTTGTGGATCCACCCACTTGGATTGCTCAGATTGGATTGAAATATCATTTTGCTAATATCATGAGTCTATGGAGAGAGAGAGGAGATAGAGAGGAGAGGGAGAGAGACGGCGGCCGCGGCTATGAAGATGGAGAAGGAAGGTGTTAAGAAATAGACGGATTCGAAAGTCAATCTCCTCCAAGACGGACTCATCGACGTTGGCACTGGTTTTTCAGCCTCTATGGCTATGGAGAAGGAGAAGATGAACGTGATCCTCGTCGACAAATTCGGAGATAAAGGAGCAATGGGTTGAGATGAGCGTGATTAAGGGATGGAAAGTGTACATCGACAGTGCATGTCGCCACCACACAAGCGTGTCCTTATCACATAAATTACTTCCTCTGTTAAGGACTGTAGATTTTTAATAGTCTAGTTAAAACAGAAAAGGCCGAAAGAGGAGCCACTATTTCACTGTAGTTGCAAGAATGCGGAAGCCCCATCAACAGATACTGCCCCAATCAACTGCTCCTACCCTGTGTATTACTTTAAACTTGCAGCAGCACCGATCTAGAACTCCAATTTTCCTAGTATGTAATAACTACTTGCGTTGATTTATCGTGTACATTTATAAATGTCCTTGCATATATTTTCAACTTTGCGACGAACTTGAGAGAGTCCGAACAAACTTGCAAGTCCGTCGCTCGCAACCAGAGCATGTACCACATGATCCAACAAAAATTAAGGGGCAGGGCGGGGCTGGGCTGGTCAGGTGAATCTCAACCCCTTGCTCTAAAGAAACATGTTGAGAATGCAGTTCCAAATGCAGAAAAGAGAAATGCCATCTCACGAGAAACATCTATCGGCGCGACTTTAGGATTCCAGACATGCACGGGCGTGGCAATACGCTACTGAGTTGCAGAAAATTGATTACAAATCGAAAAGAGGCGCAACTGGTTAGCCAATGAGTCTGAACCCAGAACGGATATAAGAATAAAATTGGATTTATCAAAGTGTCCAGCAATAATATATAGCCTGGGGCGAACGCTGCTGCGATCATATATGCAAACCTCAACTTATTTCATGAACTTTAGCCAAACGCACCACTTTCATTGAGGATGGGGAGCTCAAAACACCGGGTAATATCTCTTCTTTGCTCCATTATGCTGCTACTGAAAAGAAGAAATTCCTCAACGAGCCTTCGCATCGATTACCTTCTTCGCAAAGGAGGGCAAACAGAATGCCGCTGTATGAATCTGCAGAAGGTTTTTATTATGATGTCAGCATATGTAAGAATGACCACATTCTTCGGACGATGGACCAAAAAAACCAAATTGTACCTCTGAGTTGTAGAACTTCAGTGGCCGTTTAGTCTTGCTAAGAGTTCCATCGACGTCTATGGGATTCACTGGATGCTTGAAATCAACAGGTGGTCCCTCCGTTGAGCAAAGCATGAAACCGATCACCCCACTGAAAGATCATTACGGAGCTGTCTTAGTTCACAGAGTCATCAGCATCATAAACCGCCTCACACCTAGATCTTATAGATATGAGAGCAACCATGAAGATCACAGGAATGAACAGTCGATATAATGCTTCTATTGAAAATACAAAAATTCGAGCTAAACTGCCTATATTTTGGAAAACAGAGCCCGTCAGTCCCTGCTTGGAACAGGGAAGATTCATGCTAAAAAGTGAAACTGCATAAACTATTGACAAGTCCATCCCCCTGTACCAAACTCAAAACTTATAGAAAATGAGAGAAGCACGTGCCTGGGGTACGTAGGCACAGTGGTCCATGCATAGTTAACTGAGCCTTTGAATATCTGACGGCAATTCGCAACAATGTCCTCGATAATGTGCATGTGAAGCCATATACTTTCTGCCTGAGTGCACATAACTCCTCCTGGACGGAGAGCCCTCCCAACAGACTCAAAAAAGGGCTTCTCAAAAAGTTCTTGTGCAGGACCTGGACAACACCAATGGGGTGGTTGAAGGAGTTGGGTAAGAAAATGATAGAAAAGCCAGCCCAGAAGAAATATGTTAAGGAACTTCAGAAATATCCTTACCAATAGGATCTGAAGAATCAACTATAACCGCATCATAAGTTCCTTCAGGTACAGCTTTCAAGAAAGCGACTCCTGAACAATAAAGACGAAATGCCCCAACAGGTGAAAATGGAGTTGTGAAGAGACAAGAACCAAAAAGATGCAAAAGAAACAGAAGAAAAATTAGTAAATATACCGTCGCCAATGTGGAGGGTGACACGGGGATCGTCATAACCAACTGCAACATCAGGAAAGAATTGTTTCGAAACCTGCAAAGCAGAGATGGAATGAACAAATATCTATACTTGAATCCCAAATGTGATTGATAAAACTGGCATAGGTGTTGCGAGTACATTAAATACTCTGAAGGTACACCCTATTATTTACGAAAAGAAATTCATACAGCAGATTCTCAAACTATTGTATGATCATTTAGGATATAGTCGAGGTGGACTGAGGAGAAAATAATGAATAATCTAGTCGGTTTTGAGTAAAACCTAAAAATTGACTGACAGAACAATAATTAAGATGTCATCAGCTTCACTCACATCAACCACCATCTTGTCAATCTCACATATGTCAATTTGTTCGACAGAAGAGTGGCGAGACACTTCACGAAGAACTCCCCCGTCCCCTCCACCAATGACAAGTACCTGAAAAATGTGCATTGAATTTGAAGAATCAGAGGTGAGAACCAAACCAGAACTATTCCTTTTTTCTAGGACCTGTTCACTAATTCATAGCAAGGAGATGATATTGTTGTGATAGAGCTAGCATAGTAGCATCCAATTGTAAACTTATATATGCGTTGTCAACATTGCATGATTGTAAAGTTCAACCACCGCACCTGCTGCAGAAGTAACATACTCCATAGCATATATAGTCTCTTTCAAAGTCTTCATTGACAGTCTTCTTAATCTAAAGATATCCATTCAATCAAAATGACTAAAACTATCGATCTTCTATTTATTTAAACTTTTTATTGCCTTCCACTAGTGAGGTAACTCCTCATGAGGAAAAGAAAAGTACATAGTTTACTAAAAGAAACCTTTATAATTGCTCAAAAATTTATCCGCTTCGACTCAAGGTAAAAAGTTCTCTGTCAAAATTACCAACTCAGCATATTCCCTTCCTTCAAAGAGTTCAAAGGTCCCGGTTAATTAAAAAAATCGTTCCTTTCCTAAAGCATCTACATTATCGATACATCTTCACACATGCACACATTACAGGAAGAGTAATAATTAAAAAGGAACACCGCTCAGTTTGCAAGAAAGGGCTATTAAAATAAGTTCCATAGTACTCCTACTTCAGTGAAAATGCAATAACCAAGGAAAGAACGCAGCTAACCTTAAAAGAAGGTATTTGAGCTCTCAAAAAACACACAAAGCAATTCTAATTATATGTGCATATTTTCCAAGGCAAAAGTAGACAATAAAATGTCGCAGTTAAAATATATTCAGATATCATCATCAATTTTCATATCAATAAATGTATACTAAGCAAGTCAGTGTCCAACAATAACATGAATACCTTCTTTGGATTCGGAATTGAGCAAAGGGGAAGATGAGTTATCATTTCTTGATATGCACACTCATCTCTCTCGGTAAGCTGAATCACCCCATCCAAGACAAGAACTTTTCCGTAAGTTGACGACTGCAGGAGGAGAATCATGATTAAGTTCAATTATCATGGTGTCATACGGAAGTTATTGTACATGACAAAATTATGATATATCGGCGAAGAGAAAATACCTGGAAAACCATAACATTCTGGTAGTCTGATTTTCCTTGGAATAAGATATTATCCACCTTTAACGAATGTGCTTCCCCTGGTTAACGTCGGAAATTTATTTTAAGCAGGGATAGACAAAAACAAGCAAAATTATATTGGAGTTAACATACTTCTCTAGCCTCAAGATAAGGATTTGCCAACAATTCCGTATTTACTATTTCCACGAAGATATTGATGTCCGTATCATGAAAAACTTTGTAATAGCTATGAACGCTACATAATCTGAACCGTTAAAAAGTAAAGTTTCTCTTCCAAATTGCCAACTTACTAATAGAGCTTAACCGCTTAAACAAGTATTGGCCAAACCTGGCCCTCTAGTCTTTGGCAAAGGAAAAGGCAGAAGAGCCAAATGCAGGTCCTTATGTAGCTCTATAAAAATAATACCCAAATGACAATCCCTAAGTTAATATAGACAAGGAAAAACTCTTCAAATATATACCTAGAGAACTTTTAGAAAATAATGTACCCTCATTGAAATATGTTTCACTATTGTACAGATCATTTCTCTGTATGCCTTGAAACCATCTTTAAAAGTTTCATATTATTTTTCCTTAGTTAAAAACTAGAGCCAAGCAAACCAACAACAGAATAAAGAAGCAACAAAGTGACCAACCAACTTAGCATGACACCCATTAAAAAATAGATGGAGATACAAGTAAAGAGGAAATGCCCAGTAGAAACAACACTAAGAAGAAGTGCCGAAATCTCAACCTTTTACATTGAATGCCAGTCAAAGCACGTCACATGTCCGAAAGACGCGACCAATAGTAAAATATGTTTGAAATAGAGAGAAGAAAAGTCATGATGAAAAGCCAAAACCAAGTATAAAGTTTAGTATTTGCTCTTGTCTCCCCTATTTTTCACCTTTTCATGTTATCAAGAATAGAGGTGACCTTCAAGAAACATACACCAAGCTCAAACGGGGCATAAGGAAACCCAGGCCATGCTGTATAACCAAGTTTCATAGGTTAAAACTACAATTTGTCTTTTCACAGTCATCAGCAGTTGTCATCCGATTATGTCCGTCATCATCGGGAGGTCTTAAACAAATTTCTCGGTCTCTTTTGAGCATTTCAAGAATGAGAAACTAAACAAGAAAAAAGGTTAATGAAAAGGGAACAAACAAAATCCACAATATGCAGATTGTAGTGCTTTCAAACCTTTCTAGAAAAGTGAAAAAATTTAAAAAAATTTCAGAAAATTTTCATTTAAAATGCAAACTTTATCAAAGCAAAAGAACAAACGGCACCTAAAACACTTCATCCGACTACCCTTTGACAAAAAATAGTTAAAAAACGATAAGATATTTAACCTCGAATCACGCGGAATTGGTACACACAGTAACAACTCAAACAATTGGGGGAAAAGAACAGCTGAAGAAGGCATTCTGGAACGCATTTGATATGCGCAATTTAACAGCGAGAATGATGGGGACTTCAGATTTCCTTGCGGAAAAGAATAGGCAAACAGCAAATCAAGCAACGGGGCGGATACTCGCAACGAAATCTACGTCAAAAGGACGATCAGTTCCAACAATTACATTAGAACAAGGTCGAATCCAAAGCGAGAAGAGACCCCGTTTGCCCGCCCAGAAATCCAAACGAGCAAACGAGGGAGAGGCCCCAAAAAAAAAAAGGAAGAGGCTGCCCACGATTCCTCAACTCCAAAGCAACAAAGCAACGGCGCTCGGAGATTAGAAAGAAGAGAAGAGGGAAGAAGAAAACACCGACCGGGCCACATTGGACTAATCTCAGAGAACCACCCGGGAATAACAGAGGACATGCAGTGGGCGTTGTTATCCGAGCCCGCCGCTTCGACCTCCATGGTCACGGCGGACACTCCGTTCTCCTCGCCCTCTCTCGACCTCTTCACGGGCAAATCGGTGCAACCCACAACACCCTCTTCGGCCATAAGAAGAATACCCGGAGGGGTTGCCGTCTCTCTCTCTCTCTCGCTCTCTCTGCGTCTCTGGCTAAAACCCTTTTGAGTTTGTGGAGAGAAAAACCTAGTTGTACAGAAGAGGCTGCACCGCAGGATGTCGGGCGTCTCTCTCTCCTGGCTTTTATATATGCGTCCGTGTGTGTGAATGCAGCGGAAGGCACATTTCGGTGGAGTCGGGCATCGTGCACGCACGCACGAATCTGCTTAGGAAAGACGCGTCCGTGTTCGTTTTGGTGTGATCCGGGCCTCTCGGACAGCGTGTGAACCGATATGGCAAGGGCCGTTTGGCAAAGTGCTAAATAGTGAAAATTTCTGTTCTTTTATTTTCAGAAATAGTTTGAAAACAGAAATGCGTTTGGTAAACTTTTTGTTCCCGGGCACATTTTTGCAAAAATTTGTGCCGAGAAACAGTTTTGGAAGAGAAACAAGAAGTAAAAAAAAGTTCGCTTCTTGTTTCACAATTTTTAAGAATCGGTTTTTTTCTTCTTTTCTTTTTTTCTTTTCTTATTTTTGTGTTGTTCTTCCCTGGGCTGGGCCGGTCGCCGGCGACCGACCACAGCCCAAGGCCGGCGAGGGCGAGGTATGGACCCTCGCCGCCTGGGCGAGGCTGTCTCACCCAGATCGGGCGAGGCCGAGCCTCGCCGTCGGTCGCGACGGCGAGGTCGGCCTCCGCCCACGGCGAGGCTCGGCCTCGCCCGGATCTGGCGAGGCCGAGCCTCGCCGTCGCAACCCACGGCGAAGCCGACCTCGCCGTGGGTCGCGACGGCGAGGCTTGGCCTCGCCGGCCTTCGCCGTGGGTCGCGACGGCGAGGCTCGGCCTCGCCGGATCCGGGCGAGGCCGAGCCTCGCCGTCTCGGGCGAGGCCGACCTCGCGTCGCGACCGACGGCGAGGCTCGACCTCGCGGGCAGACCGCCCGGCGAGGACCGCCTCGCCTAAGCGCGGCGAGGCCGTAGCCTCGCCCTCCGCGCCGGCGAGGCCGTGACGCCCTCGGCCTCGGGCTATGGCCGATCCACGCCGCCGGCCGCCGGCGACCGGCCATGGCCAAAGAAGAAAATGGGTAGAAAGAAAAAAACAAATTAAACAATTCAAAATATTATTAAAATATTATTTGGGAACATAAATTTTGTGTAGTTACCAAACGCATTTCTGTTCTTTTCTACTCTAGGAATAGAAATTTTGGTCAGTTTATCAAACGCCTTCAAATACTCAGAAATTGTTTCCGGGCACAGAATAAAAAAAAATCATTTCTGTTCAGAAATAGTTTCCGGGCACAAAATGGTATTCACGCGCACCCTAAGTCCACCCTTTTTCTTTTTCTGAGATAATCTCTCCATTCTTGATTCGAATTAGAAAATTACCCTTCCGCATTTTTGCCTAACTTTCTTCAAGAGCATTAAAATTGCGTTTGGTAATCATTCTGTTCTCAAATATAATTTCTGTTCAAAAATAATTTTTTTATTCTGTTCCCGAAAATAATTTCTGAGCATTTAAAAGCGTTTGGTAAATGTCCAAATTTTTTAATATTTCTTTCTTTTTTTTTTCTTTTTTTCTTCTTCTCCTTCCTTGGCTTGTGGCTGGCCATGGTCGGCGACTGGCCACAGGCCAGAGCTAGCGAGGGCCATGGCGAGGGCGAGGGCAGCCCTCGCCGGCCTCTTCCAGCCCTCACCCGAGCCAACGAGAGCCACCCTCGCCGGATTTGGCGAGGGCTGGACCCTCGCGGCCTGTGCAAGGGTCACTCTTGCCAGATCCGACGAGGACGGCCCTCGCCGGCCATGACCAAAGACCAACCACGGGCCAATGAAGGAGAAGAAGAAAAAAAATTTTGTTTATGTTTTGATTCTTTTTTTTTTCTCAGGAATAAGAAGCAACTTTATTTTGATTCTTCCTTACCAAAAAAAACTTTATTTTGATTCTTGATTTTGTTCCAAAACTATTCCTAGAAATAAAAAATTTACAAAATGAATTTTTGTTCTTTTTTTGTTCCTGGGAATAAAAGAAAAGAATCAGACATTGTTTGACCTGTTACCAAACAGCCCCTAAGGATCCCAATTTCGACCCTGACTTTTTTTTTTACCTGAGGAAAAAATAAAAACGCGAACCTTAGCTCCTGCCCCAATTCCAACTCGAACTTTTTTTTTGTCCCATGTAAATGAGCATCAGTTTTAGGCTGGATACCTGTTGCGTCCCGAACTTTTTTTTTTTTTTGTCTCGTACAAAGGCTTTGACTTTTGGTCAGTATTGCTTCCGTCGAGTTTCCATCCGATGACAATGTTAAAGATTGAACATGTATTTCCACGTGTACTTGGCGGAAATTTGAGTAGCAAATGAAAGTTTGTGCTTTTCTTATAAGACAAAAAAATTTTGGACCAGAATTAGTATTAGAATAATTAAGTATTAAACCACACCTTCATTTTACAATTTAAGTTTTTAGAACAGTTAGCAACGACCTTACAAAATCTCACAATTAAGACAAGACCTGAAGTTGGTGCTATTTTATAAAAAGAAAAAAAAAAGATTCGAGCTAGAATTAGGACCCGAGTTATAATTTGTGCTTGTTTGGGCTAGAATCCGGTTAAAATTGGGGTTTTTTTTAAAAGGAAATTGAGCCCTATTTTTTATAGTTCAAAATGATCACGGTACCTTTTTCAAAATGCCCACGTTGGTCCTTCAATTGAATTTAGCTGTTGGAATCCTCGATTGGCCATCGGAGTGCCAAGTTGGCTAATCGGAGAACACGTGTCGCGAGTCTATTTGCACACACGATGCTAATTTGGCTAATGGGATGTCATCAACGTAAAAATTCTTTTCAAAAAGAATTGGAGAGGGAGAGATGATCCACCGAACACCAAATTACAAGAAAGAAAAAGATTCGGCATAGCAAAAAGGAAACATGCGAGATTTAATTAAGCACCTCAGAAAAGATGCTTGTCGGCCAAAAAGAAAGGAGATCACAGCAAGATGATGTGCAATCTTGCTGAAGAAAGGTGTGGAGAAAGGGGACATGCGAGTGACTTGATTGATTTTTGGTTTGAGAGTAAATTGAATAGAAGCGGAAATTGCCAAACTCGTTCCGAGCCTTGCCGGAGACCAGGAGCTTCGCCGTGAACACCGCCATATCAATACCACCTTCTTCGCGGTGCCACTCATTTTATCTATCCCAGGGTTTCACCACGGCTGCGGGATTAGGAGCTCACCTCAAATCTCGTGCTTGTGGTCCATGGGTGCTTGAGCTCTGGCCTCATGGTTGCCATGGCCACAAGGTCACGGCCATCGTGGCCAACTCGAGCTTAAACTCTAGGCTGCGGCCATGGTGGTCATGAGAGGGTTGGGTTCAACTTCATTCTTGTTTGGTTTTTGGTGGGGTTCGTCAAATTTAGTCTTTTTTTCTGTTTAAGACCGGCAAAATTTCAACGGCCTCAAGCAAATTCTGTCACCAAAATGATTCGAGAACGATTGGTGGCACCTTAACAAGTAGAGGGACACTCTAGAATAAAAAAGGTAGAGGGATGATTTTGCATTTCGGACACAAATAGAGGGACCCTAGAACATTACATCCTTTTTTTTTTTTCTTTCTATAAGTGAGAAATGCGATGAGTAGCTAGCTCTCTAGATGTTACAATAAAGGTATCATACCTGTTATTAGAAGTTCAGTTTGAGTCACTACCTATTCCATCCATAACATACAAGCATATCGAAAGTTAGAGGTAACAAATGCTTAGGTACAAGCTGATTAGAAATTCGATCATGACATAGTTAAAGAGCAATGATTCCATAGGTGACTGCGAAAGCCTCTTTATTGCTGAGCTACTATACGCCATTCGTAAGTCCCTTATTCTTTTATTTGCATCTTATCTTATTTTATTTAAATATTTTTTGCATCATTGTGTCTTTTCAAAAGACTGTATGAATCCAAATTAGAAGCTTAAAAGCAAATTGTATTGTTTTCTAACGGTGTCTGTTAAAGTATTGCTTTTTTCATCTTGCACTCAGATATTATCTTACAAAAAAATAAATGAAAATTTTCTTCTCTTTTTGATCGGTGGAACATGTCAAATCTTTCAAATTGTATAAATATTGAAACGTATAATTACATACGCCTTTAAATCATTTTAAACCCTAACATCTTGTTATTTCTAAAATTTTATATAAATGTAAATCATATTCTTTCTTTCAAGGTATCCCCAACAAACTTGGATTCTTTTAGTATGTGTACCAATCCAAATAATATTTGGATAATTATATTCCCAAGAAAAGATAATATTTGTATAGAGAAATATCACTCTCGGTATCAGTCTCCTCCCGTGCATGCGTGAAAATATTGATGATGTCACTTTATGCTTGGGAGGTGGGAAAATCAATAAGAATTCAGTGGATCTATAGTTATAAGTTCTTTTTTTCTAATTCAGTAGAAACTGCTAAAGTATCCCACATTGCTTTATGCAAGATTTATATGCTATTTATATGCATTTTGATCGTTCCACCTACAAGTTTAAGTTTTTGGATTGGATGATTCTAATATGGTTTTGAACTAAGACTCTGTTTGTTTCACGAAAAATGAATAATTTGAAAAACATGTTCCTAAAACTGATCGCTCATATCAGTTGAAATAATTAACCAATGAAAAAAAATTTCATTATTGATGACAATTTTTGTCTAAATATTTTCGTGATGGGTGAAAAAGCTTTTCGTTCATTCATTTTTTCCGTGTGACACAAGCGATCACTTTTTGGAAATTGTTTTTCCAAATTATTCATTTTCCATAAAACAAACGGAGGATTTTCCTAAAACCGATCTCTTATATCGCTTATAAAAATGAATGAATAAAAATTATTTTCATCGCCCACGAAAATTTTTGGATATAAATTGTTATCGATAACGAAAATATTTTTCATTTAGTAATTATTTCGAGCGATCGCTTTTTTTGGAAAATATTTTTCAAATCATTCATTGTCCGCAAAACAACATATCCTAAGCTCTTCCTCATTTTATTTCATTTATGCGGCCTCCCGTTCGTCAAATTACACACTCAATTTCTAAATGAGATTTATATACTCTTTAAATTAACATAATCTCCCATCATTCGAATTTCTGGATTGGACCGTTCCAACAGACACATCTACATATCTTAAAACATAAGCAATACGCAATATTACAAGATAAGTGAAGATGTGGATGACAACAAATTGTTTGAAAACGGACAATTGAACGAGAAAAACGAATAAATTGGGAAGAGAGATGTTTGGGCAAAGTACAGTATAAAATGATAGGGCTCTCGATTAGGATTCGGGATGGGTGTGGCTTGTCTTTATTGTAATAAAAAAAGATTTTGTTGCACTTTTTTTTCTGAGCGTCGCTTTAGGCTTTCGGTCACTTTCTTATATTATTTTCTCGACCCCTTTTTTCTAAATAAATTGCCTTTTGGGATGTACGGGCAGTCATCACGCATTGATTCGTTATTTCTTTAGTGGTTTTTTTTTATTGTGAATATTGCATTGCCAGTCTAATTGAACTGGCTGCGGTCCACGAGAACCTTTTTGAAAAGTGAATAAAGCGATGCGAATTTGGGCAGAAGAAACCAAAGTGATTTGAAAGAAAAAGGCCAAATTCCATTAACGAAAGGCATCGACCATGCTGCCATTAGGGTCAAAACCAGCACGCACTTTCACTTCGATCGCCTCATTAAAAAAATTCATGAACGTTTTGAAATTTGGTTTGAATCTGGCCTAACGGTAGTTGAGAGAGGATATTCCGTCCAAAGCAACCCAAAGTTCCAGTTCCACACAGTTTTCTAACTTTTTTGTTTTCTTGTTTGTTTTGAGATTTGTATTGTGGAATTGATTAGTTGACCAACTAGGGTAAGGATGGAATTGATTATCCTTGATGAGCGTGGGGTCGATGGTGAGAGAGCTTTGATTTGAAAACTGATCAACAAATTGGGTTAAATGAAGAAGAAAGATGAACAATAAAATAAGAGAAAGAAAGAATAGAGAAAATTCATAAAATTACTCTAAATGACCTGGTTTTGAGTAAATTTGTCCACATCAGATCGTCGGTTACGACACTTAAGACAACCAATGATGACCGGACCGCCATATTAGCAATTTCAAGTAACAATTGGCCGGAAGGACTATGTTGGAATTTTACTACTATATTGAAGCAATTGAAAGGTTCACAACTATATGGGAATCTATACAATTGATTTATGACTAAATTGATAATTTTCCCGATAAATACTTTTATTAGTTTGCTAAGTCTAGCCACTTTGCACCTTGGGCATTTGTTACCTCATATGGAGAGACTTCCTAACTTTTAACTTTTGACACGCCGATGGGGCTGCAGTGATAGGTTCATATACCTACGATTGGACTGAGTAGCTATGACTTAAGCTGGATATTCTGTAAAGGGTGTGCGATCCTTGTAGTAACACTTAGAAGGGCTAGTTCCGCTGGTCTTACCCGTCCGCAACTTCTACTACGATTACAGGACAATTGTCTTACCATTTTAAAATTACTATTTTATTCGCTATATATAAATAAAAGTATTATTAAAAAGAGTCACGTCAGCATTTTCAGTTAGTTAAATTGGACGGAACTAACAGAGGTACTTGATTCTACCAATTTGATAAGTTTTAGAACTTGATTGCATTTTTTGATAACTTTATGATTCAATTGTACTTTCGCGATAAGTTTTAAGATTTCTATTGCGTTTATCTTTATGTTTTATTAGGAGAAACGAGCTTTCAAGGAATGTGATTCGCACAAAAAGTTCAAGGCTGAAATCATTGCGCTGGATTTGCTTATTGATGGTAGAGGCACGTGAAAGAGTGCCGATTCTATATCTTAAAAACACATCATTGTTCATAATTATTGCACCTTAAGACAATCATTAACGAGAACCAATTGATCTGCCCGTGCGGCGTCCGCCTAACATCCATAGATAGTTTTCACACCAATGTGCTTAACAATGGCAAACCGATGATTTGGACTGGACCAAGACAGAAATCTTACTAATATCTGAAGCATGTGACCCTTTTCTCGAACGAGTTACTTAATCACGAAATGAAAATTTTCGGACCTATGTGTGGGGGTGGCCTGGCGGGGGCAACCATGCCCCCTTCCTCAGGCGGGTCCGCCATCGAGGGTCAAGTGAGGAGGTTCAAGTTTAGACGCTAAAACTTCCTCGCAGAGACGGACCGCAACCAATGGTCCCGTGATAATGCGGGTCCGCCATGAAGGTTTTATCTAATTAGAGACATGTTAGGTTGTCTCCATGTTAGTATTCGGAAATGTGAAAAGACGATAGGAATTATTGAGTTCGAGACAAAATCAATCGCACTATTTTTTCGCTCCATGTGAAAGAGCCTCCACTCATTGTTTTCCTCCAAATGAGTAGGAATAATTGAAAATTTACCAGAGCACCTCTCGATTTCAGGAAATTAACAATTATCAATGTGCGAAGTACTCATCGCAAAGTGACAAAAGCACCTTATTAGTGAGGCGGTAGCAATGAAGAGGAGGTGGGAAGCCATTGTTCTTGTTCCTCCAATTTGATGTTAATTGCCTGTTAGAAAGGAAAAATGATGTCGTCGCGACCCTCCCGAAGTGAATCCCAAGGGAGCTTAACGGATTGCTTAGCGGGCGCGAATAATCGTCCTACGAGACGACGCTTTCATCAAAATTAGAAAGTTCAGGACTAATTTGGCACGCGTACAATAATTTTAGAATTTAGCCGTGATAAAATTGGATCAGGAAGTCAAACTAGAACTGGGTTGGGGTGGTGATCAATCAAATAGCTGTTGGGGGGTAGGTGGTTTGTCCTACTTATTCAGAGAATTCAGACGAAAACTCTGACTTCCCGAGTTTCAAGCCTCTTTCCTTTACTCGAAAAAGGCGAATTCTCACTTTGCCACTCTATTATTTCCAGGGATGGGGTCTCCCACTAGTCCACATGCACTCATGCATGGTGTCGTTTGCTCGTTCACATCACGGGACGGTTCCGAGGCCCACACAGACTCGCTCCTGCTTTGTTCACACACTTCCTTTGGAACATCGGAGGTGAGAAGGTCGATCACAACTCTAGGGTTCCCGGGTGGGGCCTTTCCGTAAGGTGGCGGCGACACCTGGCGCCGGCGAAAGCGAGAGAAAGAAAAAAGTTGAAACGATGGGAACTCCAAAGAGCACAATCCTTACGTGAGGGAGCAAAAGCATACAGATTGACATTGCACGTGTGAACCAAAGTTTAGTGTACGGGACAAATTCAGTTTCAGTCTTCAAACGTTTGGAGGGGATCTATCTATGGTGCCTCCGGGAACCATGCCCCTTTGATGTTAGATCGTCGTAATTCAGTACAAAATAACATAAATTGCAGACACCCGTGTTCATATAGTCGTGAATTGCCAATGTCATGAAGCACGTAGTTGTCCATCGTAGTTGTTCATGTAGTCGTGATGGCTGTTTCGATCTTTGGCAAATCTGGGAGCTTCTTTTGGATTTATTGTGTTTATGTTTGGTTTTTGTGAGTAAGATGCAGATTTTGAATTGAGGCATTATTCTTTTTTTGGTGAAGGAGTTGATTCAATATGCAGGTTAGTATTTTACTTGAAGACATCTTTCTAATGTATGTTGCCGTTCATGTGTTTGTATATGCAAATTCGTTGCCTTCGCTAAATTACCCCCTATCTCCATGATTTCCAGAAGAAGATTGAGATTAAGCTTGAGGTAGAGCACCCAAAACACAAAAACGAGGCATTCAGGGTTGCAGCTCTAGCAGATGAACGATGAATTGGTCTGACGCTCCACCTCTTGCTTTGCTGTTGATGCCTACCACAAGATGCTTTCGTTCATGGCTATTGCTGATTCTACTAGCTGATTTGGCTCTGGGTTGTGAGCTCTCACTACGCAATCGTTTCGCGCCTTCCACTTATGCCATAGAATCACCGAGGGAAGTTCAGAAGAAACCGAGGTATGCTTAAAATCGACTACCCATTCCTCAATTCTCGATAGTCCAAGATTTGATATGTCGACTGGTCAGGGCCGGGTAAAACCAGATGTTTGTCGCCTCGGGGCGGAGTAGAAGGACGTGCTCAATGGCCTCGGGTTGCTGAGGGGCATAATTGCAGAAAGGATCAAGTACAATTCTCTTCTTAACACGGATTTTCCTGAGTAGACAGTGCATTTTGACAAATACTCCAAAGAAAAGAAACCTGATTTTGGGTAGTGTTGGGGTCTGCCATACTCTGGTCCAAAAAGGTCGTGGTGCTTGGAAAGAGGATGAAGCTGTATAAACATCTGGTTTTGCAAGATTCTCTCTGTTTTTACTGTACCCGCTCTTCACGGAAAAAAAGTCCCAGATTTGGAGTTGGACCACACCAATTTTGTCTTCTATATGGCCTGAGATCCTAGAGGGACCGCAAGAATTTCATTGATAGTCTCTTCATAAAACATATCTCGTAGGATGTGTTCATTCCATGCGATCGCCTCCTTGTCTATTAATTCAGCAACTATGTAATGCTCCCCTCTGTTACGGTTAGTAGGCCCTTCAGTCAGTCCCCTTTTGAGCTGTTCATCCTCTCTTATAAAAGCTCTCCTCATTTTCGACAACCCACCCGATCGAAGGCTGCATTGTTTCGCGCCCCGTAAATAAACACTGTCAACCCCATGATGGTCGATTACCTTTCCCTACATGCCAGAAATCGCAATGAAGATGATATAAACCTTTCAAAGGTTGACCCTATGGAGCTGGGCTTTTGTACTATCTTACAAGCCTGCTTCCCCAATATAGCTTTATTGAACGTAGTTAGGTCCCTGAATATCAACCTGCCATTTTCTTTCTTGGATCTCAAAACATCCCATTTTCTCGGATGCATTCTTGCCTGTTTATCATTATTTGATCACAAAAAATTAGCAATCATCTACTTGGGCTTAACAATACAACCTAGAAAGGAGGGGTTGAATAAGTTAAATGTGGATTATGAAAAATTCTTGCGGAATTTAAGTCAAGAGCACCATAAGCAAATTACGACAGATATATGCACAGGATGTTGATAAAAGATATCGTGTTTTGTTTTTTTTTTAATCGAAATAAAAGATATTGTGTGATGGTGGTGCTAATGAGTAGTTGCTAACAATAATCAACCAAAGAAGTAAAAAGAACTGCAATTTATAATGGTTCAGCTTTACCCTCAAACCTACATTCACTCTCTAAATAATAGCGTCGATAAATAATAGCGGACTGGATTTCACTAGTAATTTTCAAAGTAAATTACGATCAGCAAGAGTTGTTCCTGTCAATCAATAGATTATACTATCAGAACACAACCACTACTCTTACACTTGTATACTTGACATTGTCACATTTACAAAGCAGCTTAAACCCTTCGCAAGATCTATTAGATGTAAAACAATGACACTTTCTTATTATAGACGAGAAAGATAATGTACGGCGACAATAAGCTCAATTTTTCTCTCATCCAACCCTTTCATGCTTTCTTGATCCTTCTTATATAGAAGTCTTCAATCATGTCGGTGAAACATTTGATGAGGATCGGAAGAGACGTTTGAGACTTGGTGGAAGTTGTTGCCGAAGTTAGGATTACCCATACAATCATTACCCCCGATATCATCAGGTTTCCTAAAATGGTATCTACTACATTTGTCACTTCACTAGTGTTCAGGCTTTCTCACAAAAAAGTTGTCATCACTTTTTTTTTTTTATTTCCCATAGGGATTCTCAGCCTGTACCGAATATGTCCTTTGTATTCAATGGTCATCTTCAAACGAATACCTCACCAACACTGCAGGAGACATGATATCAGCACGATCCAATACTCATTATCAGCATGTGCTCGGTAACACTAGACTGTTGATGCTTTCCAGCAATTGCTTGAATGAAGTGACTTGCGATTGTATATCTAATGATCCTTTTGAATACATCCGCTTCCAAAGACTTCTCAAGGACAAAATACTGACTCTAGTATCTCTAAGTCACCATGAACTACTCGTCATATTGGAACTTGTTCTCCTATTGTCACAATCTTTGTCCTAGCCTTCACTGATCTTGTAGTACTCATTGCTATCAACACAATTTATGTCACGCCCCGAACCCCATCGGGCATGCGTCATTCTTTACTCGGTCGATTTATGCGACATCCCAGGAATTATCGCCGATCTCAATACAATTATCGAGATTTAACGCACGGCGAAACCACAATCAACCCTGACAATATAAACCGGGAAAGTCAGGAGAATATACATATTTTCATTATCAAACTTATAAAACCTTTACGTTTACACCACCACATACACTTGCACACCGTATTTAAAACCACCGATATACAAAAGATTGATGACCGGCATTCGACCTAAAAAATGGTACTCTCCAAAATTTATCATTCGAACCCCTAATGCTAGCCCCTACGCTCCTTACTCGGCGTCGATTCCGAGTCCGACTCATCCCCATCCGAATCTGAACTTCCTCGATCGGCTTGCTCCTCCGAAGACTCCGTCTCCGCCTCAATCTCAATCGGGTGATTGATGTCGCCCGACTCACTGGAACTTCATTCGATTCTCCTCACTAGAAAATCAAAGAAATTGTATGCATGCACGAAATTGGGATCCATATATTGCTCAAAAGGGAGTATATATTCCGGGTCTCCTACAGCTCTTCCACTCCTCGACTCATCATTAGGCTCTACCTCGGGTTCTACTTGAGCTCCGCTTCCTCCTGGTTCTTCCTCGGGATCGGTTCTAAATCTATGTCCATTTGTTCAGCTTCGCTTGCGATGCTTCGGCCTCGGGTTCATGCTCGGCCTCCGAAGATCCTTGTGCGGCGGGTGCGGGATGCATCTCGGATTGCGCTAAGCTAACCTCTGTCTTGGTTAATTCTCCATCTATCGGGGTATGGCAAATGGATCCCAATCCCCAACGAGATCAAACGGAACATCAAAACCCTAACGGGCCCGAACTCATCCCCATCTACATCCCTAAAGAACCAGGGCAAGTATAAACATGAGTCTCCCATAAAGGTAATCCTACTTCTACGAAAACCGTTGTGGTATGCTTAATCCAGTCATTCCATCACCCATCGGAAATTTCAACCTCATTCTCGGTGTGCACGCACCCCAAAACGCTCGAGTGGTGGTGGCGGAGGATTCATGGCTCAGTCGGGGTTACGAAAATATTGGTTGAGATAACCATGAGATCACATCTCGCAAGTACACTCTTAAACCCCACCTAGGCTATCACGTACCTCTAGATAATTACACAAACACAATCACACAAATCAAATCATCACATAGCGGGCATATCACATACAATCACAATCGAGTACAAATCTCATGACATGCACTCATTCCGTTCTCATTATCTCGTTTCCACATGCCTTGCCGGTGACCCGTTACGATAACACGCCTTAGGTACACTATGACCTCTTTCCACAACACTTCCGGGCCGCGAACGTACACGCCTCGGGCTCAACATCTACCACCTCTTGCACAACTTGCGTTGAAGTACACGCCTCAGTGCAGCCTTCCTGCGAACTGGCATCGTCCCGCGTAAACGAACACGCCTTAGGACGGAACAATTTCCACAAACACATGTCATACCTCATTTCTTTCTTACTCGTGCACATGCTCAACAAGCATTTACCACACTCAACTGGCCAATCACATGTGGCCCGTACACGCATCAATTACACACAATCCATGCTCACTCAATTTGCCATGGCCAATTTTTAACAATTAAATCGTGGCCTCAAGCGTGCACCCAACAGTGCATATTTCAATCATTTAACCATACAACCACGCACTCAATTTAATCACCACAATTCAGTCATAGATCAAACACGCATTAAACACACAATTTACCATTTTTCTCCAACCAAATGGCGTCAAATCGGTCCGGTCCTTCACGACACTTTCTCACCATTAATTACGGTTCTAAAAATCCAATTTGCGTCCCGATCGGCCCATCACAGCCCACTGCACAGCCACTCACAGCCCACTGTTGTCCTCAAATATTCCACCAAAAATTTCCAAATTCAATCCTACGGCCCGCCACATAATACCTCTCCTAAATCATGCAAATTCGCACATAATTTAAACCCGATTTCACCCAAAATTAACCCTTTATTAATTCCCAATGGTAAAATGGTCACTTTCTCCGTTTCTCGTCTAAATCGAACTTTTCTAAAAATCCGAAGAAATCCAGAGTTGTACGTTCCAATTACAACATCGTCCAAAGGCCTCGCCGTGACTTTCCAAATTTTCTCGATGCTCGGTTTGGTCTCTAATCCATATTCAAATTATATATATAACGTAACTCGAGCGTTTCTCGGACTAACGGGTGGCTTTTGGGAAATTCGCTGTACGACCCGTGGATCGATACTAAATCGAGTCACGTGCAATTTATTCAGACCGTAACGACTTCGGTTGTCATTAAAATCGCGAGAATCAATTACTAGATCCAAGGGGTACGATCGTTTGATATAGGTTCGTGGATAATTCATCAAGTCATTTCGTGGTCCGGCGGAATCACCCGCGATCCATTACTATGACAAAGTGGCGAACCGACCCTTAACTATCCTTGGATCGGCCAACAAGGTTCAAAATATCACCTCGACGGTTTCATGGTCGAAAGTCAATTCACGATCGAATTTTCTTTGGTCGTATGAATTTAGATCCCTCACTAGCCTTTCCCTAACTAAGTTAGTATCCCAGAATGATCAGCCCGGATGAGAACTAACTACGAGTACATTAATAAAATAATTCATTTCATAAATCCCAAGTGAGCGAAATTGCGGAATGTCACAATTTACCTTGGTATTAACATATGCACTTATATTAGCACCAATGATAGTTTAGAATCATCAAAATTCCACAATTCCAGATTCACCCTAATCTGAAGGTATCCCCATATACTGGCCCTTTTTTTTCAATTTCAGGAACTCTCAGCTCTCTAGTCGGATTTCTTCTCAACCCCTAAGGGCAATTTCTGCTAAAATTCATCTCTAACTTATTCAAGTCAATAACTTGACTGGAATCATATCAATACTGATTGAGGATCGTAGCTACGCTTTGGCATTCAATGATTTTCCCATCAAGGAAGAATATTGAATCATCCGCAAACAATAAATAAGAGAGTGTTGGACATGAACTATTCATCTTAACCCCTTTAATGCTTCCATCTTCCGCAGCTTTCTTCATCAAGTGAGCTAATACATTAGCTACTAGGATAAATAAATAAGGGGAAAGAGGGCTACCTTGTCTCATTACTCTGATGCGATGAAAGTAGGGTGGTAGTTCACCATTAAATTTTAAACCCAAAAGGACCGTCGACACACTGCATCAACCAGTTGATCCATTTAGCACAGAACCCCATTTTAAGCATACTGAGCTCCGTGAAGTCTCATTCCACACGATCATAGGCTTTTTTAATGTCTAGCTTGAGAACCACATGAAATTTTCTCTTCCTTTTACGAATTCTCAGCTGATGGAGCACTTCCTAAACAATGAAGATGTCATCTTGGATACGCAGTCCACTCACGAATGCGCTTTACTCCATAGCAATCAATTCTGGCAACCAAGGATTAAGTTGGTTTGCCAGAATCTTCGAGATAATTTTATAAGCAAAATTACACAAACTGATGAGATGGAAGTGTTCCATCTTTTCAGGATGAGGAATCTTTGGGATAAGGGAGATGTGTGTTCGATTCAACTCTGGATTTAGTTGCCCGGAACTGAAGTGTCTCTGCATTTCTTTGAGTACATCCCATTGAATATCTTTCCAATAAGATTGGTAAAATCGTCCATTCAAGTCATCATCAGGCCTTGGTGCTTTGGTGGTTCACAGTTGATGAACAACCATTGTAATCTCTTCTAATGAAACTTATTCAGTTATGCACCAGTTTATATAGTCCCCCACTAAACATGGATACTCCTCTAGAATGGGCTGAAAGTTGTGATGACCAGCTGAGCGGTATAATTTACTGAAGCAATCCACAGTCATTTGCTTCAACTGATTAGGATTTCTAATCCACTCCTCTTCATTAGCTTTCAACATAGAGTTTTATTTCTTTGTCTACGTTGGATGGTAGTGACGTGATAATATTTTGTATTTTTATGCCTCCATTTCAACCAGTTGATTCTATATCTCATCCCTCAATACATCTCCTCCCGACACCATAAATTTTCAATTTTGCCTATCAGGAGCTGCACTCTTGTTCTATCATAACTTAGGTCTGGGCTGTTCGTGATGTTTTGAAGCTCATTCTTAAGAATATTGATTTTTCTTGGACCTTTAAAGACTTTGTTCCTACTCTACTGAGAGCTTTAGATACATTGCCCAATTCATTCAGTAAGGCAGCATTCTCCAAAGGGAATGGCCAAGTGTCCCTTACTACTTTCCCACGCTCCTAATCATCAAGCTTGAACACCTCAAATTTATACAAACTCTTCCTTTTAACTAGGTTAGGATAAAGAGATAGCATAGCAGGATTGTGCTATGACCAGAGCCTATAGCTGGTAGTACAGGCATTACGGAACAAAACTCGCCATTCAATAGTGCATAAGACTCTATCAAGTCTTTTTTTTTTAACATAATCATCTCCCTCCCAATTGTTTGTACTAGTAAATGCACATCCCTTACTTTCCATATGTATTCATGATAAAGTATCAAGGAAATCCCGGAAAGCCTTTAGTCTGTAGTTCTCGGCTAAATGTCTCTCCACTTTCTTCTAGTGATAAAGTATTTCATTAAAATCTTCGATACAAACCCAAGGAGATGATCCTAGAAGTCATTTGGTGCATGAACGCAAGTTAAGTGCATTCATTGTTTGCTCTTTTGAATCTTGTAGATCACATCAATAAAATGCACCGAACTTGATTTAACTGTTACCAGGATCTGATCAATCTAAAATAGTGCCAAACCCCCTGCAATGCTGATTGGGTTGACAACAAAATAATTCTGAAGCTGCATGCGAAGCTTTAACCAAATCAAAACCTGTTTTTTATTCTTAGTGTCCATGAGAAACACAAAAGTGGGCTTTCCTAAGCCACAAGAGCCCCGAGAGCTTGCAACATCAGGGGATTGCCTAAACCCTGACAATTTCAGCATATAAATTTCATTTATAACCCGATGTCTTATTAGAGCTAGCTATCAAAAGCCCATTTTTCAATTTTAGCCACCATCTGGATTGGGGTATCCAAGAGTTGAGTTTCATCCAACGTGTGGGGACTAGGCATCTTCTGCTCATAGGGGCAATACCTTCTACCTTTCTTGTTAATAGCATTTTTTGGCCTTCTGTGTTTTCTCTGCAGGGTATTCTCTGCTATAGGTTAGGAAGTGAGCTCTACGAACTATGTGGGAGCCGAGAAATGCGGAGCGAGTGCTTCAGTCTTCTGACTATCAGTGGGAACTAAATTGCGATCACCTGTAAGTTTCCTTTTGCCTCTCTCCTTCAGCATATTGTTGGGCTGATGTTGGGGGCTGCTGATATCCTGTTCTAGAGTATTATTTGGCTAGAATCCAAAGGAGTTTCAGGGACCATTTCATCCTCTACATCCTCCACGCTTGGTCCGTGGAAAACCTTCCAAAATGGACTATACTCATTTGCCTCAGCCTTCAGCCACGAATTAAAGAGGTAATCATTGTCCATGGAGAAGAAGTCTTCATCGTAAGGCACTTCCTCGCAGAATTTAACACCGCGTCCAATTCTCCCACATAATGAGGAAGCCGTTCAACTATGAAATCAATCCAAATCTTCTTTCCTCATGGCTAGATACCATTCCAGATAGTAGAGGGGATGATAATTCTAAAGTGGCTCTCGCCTTCCTAACTTTATAGGATGCGAATCCTTTTGTTTCTATTCTCACCTCTGAATCTTCTCCAATATGCTGAGGTTCTACTAATTGCTTCTTTGGAGATCCAGTCGAAAGGAAGCCCATGAACATGCACCCAAAAAGAACAAGAGTCAAAGACATAACAGTGGGGGGTGGGGTGTTGGGGGTGCTTTGTTCCCATGTTTGAGCAATATGAGATGATTAGCAGACGACCAAGGGCCTGAGTTCAATACCCGGTTCTTCACCACCTCAGGTTCTAACTGTGTGCACATTACATGTTCAGCTTTCCATGCTTTTCTCATGGTTCTTAGAAAAGCTTGGAAGTTCACACTGGGGCTTGTATGTATTCAATCAAATAAGGTAAGGTGGCTTTCTGTTTCTTTCGAAGCAGCCCCATCCACAACAGCGATTTTGTTCCCTAACCACGTTCTTCCTAATCGCTCACACAGGGCAACCGTACGCATCCCAGAATCATTCTCATCATCCATATTTACGTCAAAACGGGAAAACCAGCACAACAAGGGAATTGACGCCCACTCACCTCAGTGCACTCGGAATCTCGCAAGGTCAGCCCATCTGGATGGTCTTTCATTTTTCAATTGGTAGCTTCCAGAAAAATAAATTCTATGAGAAAAAATTATTGATTGGTCTTTCGCCCCGTTCAGCACAGCAAAGAGACTTCTAAGCAGGAGGAGTCACACTTTCCACGGCAACACGAGTCATTTTGCAAAACACATCTAGCCTCTCAGTTGAGAAATCCAACCCCATAGCAGAAGATAGGCGCAACGCACACCATTTTTTTTCCAATCCATTCCAGTACGATGCAGATTCAATACACAGTGGCCATTTTGCCTGGCGGTCCAGAAACAACAAACCCAGTGCAGAAACAGGGCACCGCTCTAAGAAACTTCAAAACCCAGCCCAGAAAAAGGGGCGACACACCTCCAAACTTCAATCCATTCCAGCACAATGCAGATTCGATACTAAATGGGCACTTTGTGTAGCAGTCCGGAAGAGCTAACTCAGAAACAAGGCAATGCACCAGGAGTCTTTAATCCATTCTATTTTGAAGACACATTACAAACCTACGCCATGGATGTAAGATTGAAGATACTAGGGTTTAAGGGAAGATTAGGATTTTGTTTTGCCGAAATTTCTCCCGCCACGAAATATCACCGAAAGAAGTTCTCCGGCTTTTAATTAACGGAAGCCAGGGTCCTACGTACGCTGACTCCGAATAGGAAATAGCTAGGCGATTGAAGAAATCGACAACTTTATACACAATGGGGTTGTACATATGCAAATTGCATCGGAATTCAATCGACGATACAATCTAGAAAATATAGACTCGAGAAAGTAACCAAATGCAAACAACCTATGCCGAAAATCGACGACACCGTTTGAAAACATGAACAACACTATGCCGGAATTTAATTCACAACATAGAACCCGTGATAGAGATTACACGCCAAAATTTAATCGACAACGTGAATCGGGCGGCTACAACTAGAAAAATAAAGTGCATTGCAGGAAAGTAAAGTACTAAAAGATAATTGATTTGTTTGATTTGTGCCGGAAGAGCTTTTAGTAGGTGGCTGGTGGTATTTACAATGATTCAGTGTTAACTGCCTTCCGATGGTTTCCAGCAGTTGTCTTTCCTTAAGTGGTTTCCTCGATTGTCCTCATGTCTCCCGAAAATTTGATGTCCATGTTCCCATGATGCTACCATTGTCTCCAAACAGTTGCTTATGATTACAGCACGTTAACTGCCCGAGATCTTATTCTGATGGTTGTTACCTTTCCCATGAACTTATTTTTAGGTGACAAATGTTCCCTCCAAGAATGCAAACTCATTCTCTTTAATCTCAACTGCTTTGCTGATTTTGAACTTCATGATCATGCTTCGATGTTCTCCAAGTAGATTTTTGCCGGAGACTCTATCATTCCGATTGCCTCTCTCGACCAATGACTATACTCTCTTGTCCTTATATTCCGAAGAACTATATCAATATTATGTTGTTCGCCCATCATTAACATCTATATCAATGATCACTAAATATTTATAGTCAAATATCGACAACCGAATATGTATCATGTGTGCATACCGATGTCGATTCTTGAATGTCAATCTCTGTTGTCGTCGACAAAGTGTCACATGCATAATAATGTTCAAGTGTTACTCATGTGATTGTCCATGCCTATGTGCTAAGCCCGTGCTTGTCTGACTCGATTCTTTTTTATGTAAACAGATTTACATTTTATTGTAGCTACAACCAAAGGGTAGAGGAGACCTCTACAAACGAGAGAGTACTACTCATCGTGGACTTTGAATATTTTTTAACTAAGGTTAGGTTTCAAATAGCTGTTGGGGAGGCGGTCTGTCCTACTCATTGTGAGATTCAGACGAAAACTCTGACTTCCCGAGTTTCATGCCTCTTCCTTTGCTTGAAAAAGGTGAATTCTCACTTTGCCACTCTATTATTTCCGGTGATGGGTCTTCCATTAGTCCACATGCACTCATGCATGCTGTCGTTTGCTCGTTCACATCACGGGACGGTTCCAAGGCCCACACAGACTCGTTCCCGCTTTATTCACGCACTTCTTTTGGGACATCGGAGGTGAGAAGGTCGATCACAACTCTAGGATTCCCGGGTGGGGCCTTTCCGCAAGGTAGCGGCGACACCTGGCGCCGTCAAAAAAAGAAAGGTTGAAACGATGGGAACTCCAAGAGCACAATCGTAATTACATGGAGGAGTAAAAGCATACGGATTTGCGTCACATGTGTGAACCAAAAGTTAGTATGGTACAATTTCAGTTCCCGTCGTCATGAAGGGGATCTATCTATGGTGCCCTTCGATCGTAGATTGTTGTAACTCAGTACGAAATAACGTAAATTGCAGACACTCGTGTTCATGTAGTCGTGAATTGCCAATGTCATGAAGCACGTTTTTGTTCCATCATAGTTGTTTGTGCGATTTGCTTAACGAGTGAGTTCATGTGAGCGTGTTCATTGTAACATTTGTTTTGACCTTCGGTGAATCTGGGAGCTTCTTCTGGATTGTGGTGTTTAGGTTTGGTTTTTGTGAGTAAGATGCAGATTTTGAGTTGAGGCATACTTCTTTTTAGGAGAAGGGGTTCATTCCATATTAAGGTGTATATATATATATATTTGGACATAAAGGTTAGTATATTTACTTGCACTGACATCTTATATTTTCATGTCATTGGATATACACATTTGTTGCTTTTGTTAAATCAGCCCTTTTCTCCATGATTTCCAGAAGAAGATTGAGATTTAAGCTTGAGATGAAGGACCCGAAACCCAAACCGAAGGCATTCAGCAGCAGATGAACGATGTTATTCCATTGGGGAACTAAAAGTACCTGGTTGAAATTCTTGATTAAGTTTAGGGACCCGATCGCTCATTCAACGATTTTGGGAATTAAATTGTATTGCCCACAAGTCCTAGGACTCTACTAGTTTACACAGTCTTCATTGTGGAATTAAAAAATGACTTGATCTTCTGGGCTTGCTTTAGGAAAATCTTTTAGCTGGAAATGTCTCGTATACGAAAATACCAATCCGTTCGGCAGAAATTGGGGACTGCTCTTTTCACGCATTAGGGACGGTTAATCCCGCGCTATTGCTATGTTTAGGGAAGGGTGCAGTCGTCCATAATGGAAGTTAGAAAGTAATGGCAAAATTCCAATAAGAGCCCTTAGGGATAGCAGCCCCGTCCCTGAATCATATCTTTAGGGATGGCCCTAGCCGTCCCGATTAGCAAGGGTATCGATGGGTCAGATCGGGCCGGGCATTTTTGACAGCCCAAAACAACGGGCTCCACAAAACAATCACCGTTTCTCTTTAGCAGTGAGGGTACAAGCGACAACGGGCAGTGGGCTAAATGCCGTCATTGATGGTCATTAGGGACGGGTTTTCTTGACTTTTAACGGACGGTTTTGCCCGTCGCCTCTTCTCACTTGTTTAGTAGTGTTCGGCTATCCATCTATAAACATGATGATTAAACCAGTTGGGACCTAAAAGATTGGCCTGACTTATTACCCTAAAAAGTTATTTGTTTACAATCGTTCGTGCCGGCCAAGTTCTGCCCGAGTCTAGACGGGTCGGGTTGAGCTTATAGACGAATAGCCTCGCCCAAGCCCCACCTGAAAGCGGTCTTTCGATCCGTGCGGCCCGGGCAGACTTGTGAATCACTAGTAGGCTCGCAGTACATCACTTTGGTACTCGCTATAATTCGAGTTTGATCACTCCGGTATATATATAATATTCATGGAGGCTGATGTAATAATGGTTTCCTGATTCAAACACCTTATAATAACAGGCAAATCATTTGAAGTTTCTAGCATGCGACTGATTCAATGATACGAGAACATATCGGAAATTTCGATTTCTAAGAAAAAAATGGGACAATTACCAAAAAAAATATTAAACCTATTGCAATTATTTCAATTCAGGCCTAAATCTTTTTTTTGAGCCAGTGGAGTCCTAAACCTTTTGCATTTGTGCCAATTTAGTCCATCCAGCCAATTTTGGCTTGAAATTGATGATATGGACGCCGGCCATACTACATGGCGCAGCCGGCTGTCCTACGTGGTGTCGCGGCGACCAGCTAGAGGAAGAAGGAAAGAGAAAAAACAAAGAGAAAGAAAAGAGAAAAGAAAATTTTTAAAAAAATCAAAAAAATATTAAAATATTATTAAAAATTGTTCACGTCAGTGTCGGTCGCGCAATGTAGGATGGCCAACGTTCATGTAAATGATTTCTAGTCAAAATTGATTGGATGGAATGAATTGGAACAAATACAAAAGGTTTATAATTCAATTGGCCAAAACAAAATTAGGATTGAATTGACACAATTGCAATAGGTTTTGCATATCCCAAAAAAAATCGATGGGATGGAAAGCTAGAAAACATTACATTATGGTTCCATTTATATCGCTTGAAATAATTAGTCAATATTCGACCAAATAAATAAAAAATTAGTTAATAAAAAAGTAATTCATTATCGATAACAATTTATGTCTAAACATTTTCGTAGATAATGAAAATATTTTTGATTCATTCATATTTGTGAGGGATACAAGCGATTGTTTTTAGAAATATATTTTCCAAATCGTTCATTTTCAGTGAAATAAACAAAACAAACAGACCCTACGTTTCAGACAATCATGATAGCATAAAAGATGTCGAAATTCAATACACAAAATCAAAGATACAACGAATCCGAACGGCCAACAACCACTTTCGACAGCAATTTTATTTTGGTCGATAGAAAGACCCCATTCAAATATTAGAATAATACTCGAGGGGTACATAGAAGGCTTTCAAGCCTTGTGAATTCCACATAACTTACTCGCTCTAAATTATCAATGGTTAATACCACGAAAAATCCCAAACCGGTATACTTGTAATAAATTTACCCCAAACTAATTTTTTGACCACAAAAAATCTCAAACTGGTACACTTATGACAAATTTACCTCCGTTAGTTTCCGTTAAATTTGATTAATATCACGAAAAATCACAAACTGGTACACCTGTGACAAACGGAGGGTAAAACCCCAAACTAGTATACTTGTCAATTGCCACATGTCATCCAATTTAACAATTTGACGATAAAATTTAACGAAAACTAGCATAAGATAAATTTGTCATAAATGTATTAGTTTGGGATTTTTGGTGGCCAAAAAATTAATTTGAGTAAATTTATAACATATTTATTAGTTTGGAGTTTTTGGTGGCAGTGTAACTTTGTACGACTAAGAATGACCTGGAGAAGGCAGCTAGCCAAGAGCTCACCACCACGAAAGAACGACAAAAAAAAGATCTGGTCATGAACCCAAACCCAGCTGTGCACTTCTCACTATCAATTGACCCAAGGTGAAAAACAGAAGCATCAGATGGCTCCTTCCGTCGACGGTAGTCACATCGTGATGCTACCTTTCATGGCTCACAGCCACCTCGTCTTGTTCCTCGCCCTCGCTAGGTAGATCCGGCGACGAAGCCGCTTTGCCGTCACCGTCGCCAGCACTTCTGTTAACGTACGCCGCCTTCGTTCGGCTGCTACGGGGGACCCCACACTTGCTACTGTCGATTTCGCGAAGCTTGCATTTTGCGCCTCCAACCATGGCCTGCCGTCCAACACAGAGAGCACCGAGAACATACCACTGACCCAGATGACGACCCTCTCCTACGCATCGCTGAGCTTGAGAGCTCAGCTGGAAAGCCTTGTCGCAGACATCACCTACCAAGAGGGTGGGCGGCCACCCGTCTGCATAATCTCCGACCTCTTTTTCGGCTGGGCGGTAGATGTGGCCAAGGCCTTCAGCACGAGGAACTATGGCTTCACCACTTGCGGGGCCTATGGGACCTTGGCACACTTGTCCTTGTGGCTCCACCTCCCACACCGTGGGACAGAGTCCAGTAAGTTCGTGGTACCGGGGTTCCCAGAACGATGCCTCTTCGACAAGTCACGCCTTGTGGTGATGATCAGGGAGGCGGATGGGGAGGACATGTGGTCCAGATTCCTCCAGTCTCAGTTCGAGCTCTCTCTCAGTTCAAGTGGGTGGCTGTGTAACATGTCCGAGGAATTTGAGCCGCTCGGAGCGGCAGCCCTGAGAAACTTGGTGAAGCTTCCGGTCTGGACCATCGGTCCCCTTCTTCCTGATGCGATTGTCAGGGACGACGACTCTTCAGGTTCCTTGAATTTCATCTCTGAACATCGACCTGAAAAGCCACTTGGGATCACCCTGGAGAGATGCATCGAGTTTTTCGACGCTCAGCCTCCGGGCTTTGTTGTGTACGTCTGCTTCGGTTCCCAAAACACTATAACTATAAAGACTCAACATTTGTGAATGATTTTCATCACTATTTCATTTACAGATTATACACGTTTATAAAGAGAAGAAAAAATACAATCTTTGGCAGAGCAAAAATCAAGGAATGCCAACTCATCTATAGTTGCAAAAATCAAGAAATGCCAACTCATCTATAGTTGGTAAGCTAATTTGAAATTCAAAAGATATCAAAAAGATTTCATATCTTAACACGCCCCCGCAAGATGGACGTTCCATCCGAAACACCCATCTTGTCTCGTAATTGTATTGTCTGCAGCCTTGATAACAGTTTTGTGAGAATGTCGGCAAGTTGATCATGGGTGGAAATATGGGAGACTCGCATCTTGCCGGCTTTAACAAATTCCCAAACGAAATGGTAATCTATCTCAATGTGTTTCATTTGGGAATGGAAGACGGGATTTGCACAAACATAAGTGGCGCCTATGTTGTCGCAATACAAGCTTGGTGCCGTGTCCATGTGAATGCCAAGTTCTTGAAGCAAAGATTTTACCCAAATGAGTTCCGCAGAGGCCATGGCAATGGCTTGGTATTCTGCTTCAGTAGATGACCATGCAACCGATCGTTGCTTCCGAGAACTCCAGGAGATAGGATTGGCCCCGATATAAATGACAAAACCCGAAGTAGATGTGTGATCATCGATGTTTCCTGCCCAATCTGCGTCGGTGTAGGCATGAAGCACAGGTTTTGTGTCGCGTCTCAAGTGTAACCCATGGAACAATGTTCCCCTAAGATAGCGTAAGAGCCGTTTTGCGGCTGTCCTGTGGGTTGTGGTCAACTTATGCATGAATTGAGATAGCTTGTTTACCGCAAAACCAAGGTTCAGGCGAGTAATGTTGAGATATTAAAGTGCGCCAATGAGGCTTCGAAATTCTGTAGAATCAGCCGGTGGTTCTTTATCATGGACCGAAAGAGATTGACCCGTGGCTAATGGTATCCTTACCTCTTTTGCGTCTCCCATTTTAAAGCGTTCAAGTAGTTCTCTTATGTATTTATGTTGAGAAAGAAGTAAGCCGGTCTTTGTAAGAATGACTTCAATTCCCAAAAAGAAATTCAGTGACCCCAAGTCTTTAATTGAGAACCGATTAGAGAGAGCGGTGATGAAGTCCGAAACAAAATTCTAGTCCCTTCCAGTGATAATGAGGTCATCTACGTACACTAGAAAATAGGTTTGAATGCCACCATGAGAGTAAATGAACAGTGAACTATTATTCTTTGAATTGACAAATGAATTTGCGAAAAGGAATGAACTTAGCTCATTATACCAAGTCCGCGAAGCCTACTTTAACCCGTATATGGCTTTGTGAAGTTTGTAAATATGTGTTGGTTTTTCTGGATCTTTAAAACCAGGCGGTTGCAATATGTAGACCTCATCTTGGAGAGTTCCTTGGAGGAAGGCATTGTTGACGTCCATTTGTCTCAATGTCCATTCACGCATTAGAGCCATTGATAAGACCACCCGAATGGTATTTTGTTTGATGACTGGGCTAAATGTATCGGTGTAATCAAGGCCCGGTCGTTGGTGAAAACCTTTGGCCACAAGACGTGCCTTGTACCTCTCAATACTACTGTCCGTACGTCTTTTTATCCGATAAACCCATTTGCAACCTACAACATTTAAAGATGGATCAAAAGGTATTAGTTCCCAAGTCCCGTTACGAATAAAGGCATTGATCTCAGCCGACATTGCTTCATACCATTGAAGATCGCACATAGCTTGTGTAATTCCCGTTGGTTCTATAGTTGGTGGAAGTGGATGTTTGGTGGTGATGTGGTTGATTTTTTTGGGCTTGAAAATATTATTTTGGGATCTAGTGGTCATTTTGCGAGTTCGTGTAGATGGATTTATGGGTTTTGATGTTTGATCATTGTTGATAGTGGCAAGTTGGGTTTCGGATGAGTTGGAAGGAGCAAAATTTTGGGTGCTTTTTGCATGTTGCTTTGGGGAAATAGATGCGGATGCATGGGGTAGGTTTCCAAGAGGTGGCATTTATTGGGATTGATATGAAGTTTGGGAAGCCGATGGGGATGCAGCATGGGCTGGAATGCTGCTCTGAGGGGGCATTTGTGCAGGTGGTCCGGTGTTTGGCAGTAAGACCGGGAGAGAAACAGTGGGTGGAAGAGGTGAACTTTGAGAGGATGACAAGACACTCTTAGAATTGATAAGTGTTTGGTACGAGAATATGTTTTCTTCGAACACAACATGACTCGAGATATAGAGACGATTATTTTGGGAATCAAAACATTTGTATGCACTTTGTGACAACGAATACCCCAAGAATATACATTGTCGAGAACGAGGCATAAGTTTATTTGTGTTGTATGGACGTAACCACGGATAGCATAGACAACCACATGTGCGAAGATTTTATAATTGGGAGCCATTTGAAATAGTGAGTGCATGTCTAGAACGGGTGTTGGCAAACGATTAATTAGGTATGTAGTAGTTTGAAACGCATATGACCAAAAGGAGGGTGGTAGGTTTGCTTTGTGTAATAAGGTGAGTCCGGTTTCAACTATGTGTCGGTGTTTTCTTTCTGCGGTTCCATTGTATTCCGGTGTGTGTGGCGGTGTGGTTAGATGGGAAATTCCGTGTTTTACAAGAAAAGATTTCAGGTTTTGAAATTCTCCACCGCCATCCGAGTATAAGTTTCGAATGGAGACAGAAAATTGTTTTTCAACCAAGCATTTGAACTATTCAAAAATTTGGGTAACATTTGATTTTTTTCTTATAGGATAAAGCCAAGTGTATTTCGTAAAGTGGTCAACAAATATAAGATAATAACGAAAACCATCGATTGAAGCAATTGACACGGGACCCCAAACATCGGAAAAAATAATATCAAGCGGAAAATGACTCTCGAAAGTTGATACTCCAAACGGAAGTTGTGACTCTTATTGCACTGACACGCATCACATGATAACTTAGAACCTACGATTAACTCAAAGACAAACGAGTTGGAAAATTATTAAGAAAATGACTTAGAATACGAAATGAAGGGTGACCTAGTCTATTGTGCCAAACCATTGGTTTTGTCCACTCACTAACAAAAGCCGTGAATTTTGGATGTGTGTTTGTAAGAGGCATCCGATACACACCATTGCTAAGCCATCCTCAAAGCAACGTCGCCCCCTTGCGAAGGTCTTTCACCAAAAAATAATTGGCAAAAAATTCGATAGATGAGTGGTTATTGTGACAAAATTGTGAGACGGAAATTAGGTCTTTTGCACTATGAGGTGTACATAAAACATTGGACAATTTAAGAGTTTGGTTCGAGTAGGATAAACTAGTAGAACCAACGTGACTAATACACAAACCTGTGCCATCACCAATGACGATCTTGTCGGGGCCTTCATACTCTGAGTGAGTGGTGAGAGATTGTTAAGGTTGCTTGTGATGATTCTGAGGTGACTTTCATGGCCGGAGAATGCAGAAGGTTGCTAAAAAAATGCAGAATGGTCGGATCAAAAGGCTCTTAGGAGCATAATGCTCTAATACCATATAAAGGCTCAACGTTTGTAAATGATTTTCATCACTATTTCATTTACAGATTGTACACGTTTATAAAGAGAAGAAAAAATACAATCTTTGGCAGAGCAAAAATCAAGGAATGCCAACTCATCTATAGTTGGTAAGCTAATTTGAAATTCAAAAAACATTAAAAAGATTTCATATCTTAACAATAATTGAGTCCAACATGAACGAGCTTGCGACTAGGCTCGAAACGAGTGAAAGGCCGTTCATATGGGTCATGAGGCCACCCCTCGGGTTCGACATGGGGAGCGAGATGAGGGACAAGTGGCTGGCACTCGGGTTCAAGGAGTGAATCACAAGGGTAGAGAAGAAGAGAGGGCTGCTGGTGAGGGACTGGACACCACAGTTGGAGATCCTGCGGCATGGGTTGACCGGGGTGTTCCTTAGCCATTGCGGCTGGAACTCGACGATGGAGAGCCTGAGCTAGGGGGTGCTGATCATCAGGTGGCCGATGGCAGCGAAGCAGGCGTACAACGCAAAGATGATGGTGGTGGAGATGGGAGTCTGCGTCGAGCTGGCGAGGGGCGCGGCAGGCGAGGTAAGCCGGGAGGAGGTGAGAAGGGTGATTGAGGCGGCGATGGATGCAAAGGGTGGGAAAAGGAAGGAGTTGAGAGAGAAAGCTATGGAGGTGAGGGAGAAGATCAGGAGGGCAGTGAGAGAGGGAGAGGGGTCTTCAGTTAAAGTAATGGATGAGTTTATGAGGAATCTAGTGATGTCTTGATTGTCATCTTCATTCAGTGCATGGAATGAGCAGAACGAATAATTAGTTGGCGATGCGACCATCAATCTCTTTCGGTTGCTGCTTTTCTATCTCTTTAGTTGGCAGTTACTATCTAATTAACGGTGGGGTTGCAAAAGATGACCTTTGTTTTCGTGACACTCCCAATAAATTCATTCGACATGTTGTTCTCTTCCTAAATCACGATATTATCTATTTTAACCCTCCTATGTTAAGACTCGTGATTTTATACATTTTCTTGAGATTACCCAACCGGTTTGGAGTTTCAGCACTAAACAATATCATTATCTCAAAGAACATCTCTTGTGAGTTCATTCCAGTTTAAAATATATAATTCAAAACATTTTTCCCCTGTTCTTATGCAATTCGGTTCCTTGATATCCTTGTTGGGGCTAACAATACAACTTAGAGGGGAGTGAATATGTTGTTTGAGAATTATAAAAAATATTTACTAGATATAACAATTAAGTTCAACTTCAAATATTGGCATAAACATATATGTTGCTGTTTAACAGATGATGATGATTACGAACATGCAATGCTAATAATGAAGAGATAGAGAATATTGCAAATAAAGATATAGTGATTCGGCTTTATTTACAAGCCTACATCCACACTCAATACTAACAGCCACAATAAGGCTGGAATCCACTAGCAATCTTTAAGATAAGTTACAATAAGCAAGTACCGTCTTTCCAATAGATCACAATATCAAGACTCACGTACTGCTATCAATCTTGTACATTTGCTTTTGTCACTAATTACAAACATTAGCATGACCCATACATTGACATGAGAAGTTCACAGCTGATATCTACAAAAACAAAGCAAAAAAAGAACACTCAAAGCACATGGATCGTTTTATTCGTTTCCACCCAACCCAACAACTTTTCTTGGACTCAATATATAGTCATCCATCCTCATATGACCGTCCCCCATTGAAATCCTTAAGTAGTTGCCAGCAGCAAGACGTTGCTAGAAATCGTCAAGCTGGTTCTCTGACGTCGACAACGTCTCTCTAACAATGGCAATTTCCCAAAAGAGTGTCAGTGTTAGGGTCTGTCCTTGCTCATTATAGCCAAAACTGCTTCCGATCAACCCTGGTCATCTTTTTCAGATTCCAAGCCTTTGTAATAGCTATTTTCTTCTTATCAATGTTCTAATCGATTAATCAAGTGACAAGCACCTCCAGGATTAGATATCAGCACGATCCGTTACCATAATCAAGACGTGCAGATTTTTACTAGTTTGTTGATGTTGTCCACTAACAAACCATGTGGACGACTTGTAATTAATCATCTAATGATCCTCTTGAGTATCTCAGCTTCCAAAGATGTCACATTGATGATAAATTGACCATGATAACTCAAAGTCATCATGAACACCTCGTCATATTTGACTTATTCTCCTCCTTGCCAAGATCCTCATCCTTGTACCTAGTATTCGCTAAACTCACATAGGTTATTGACATCATCACAGTCTTCCATCTCATCTATCTAAAGTAGTTTCTCTTTGCCAACAATCCGTTGCTCCGATAATAATCCGCTTTACCCAATCATGATACTGATCTTTCCAAGCATATTGGAAGTTTCGAATCTACCAAGTTGTTCATCTTCATGGTCCTTATAAGCTTTATGAAATATCCTCGTTATAGGCTTGTTCTCGGCTTGTTCAGCCTCAATCAAGGTCCTTCCAGATATTTGCCTTATCTGATAATCCCTCCAACTTGTAGATATCTTCAACGCCCAAAATCTTGTTCACCTCTAATATTGGCAGCGATCCTTTGATATTGGCAAAGCACTTTTGACCATGGTAGAGCACTCATATGAAAATCATTTAGTGCCGATTATGACATCGTCTATATTGTGGCTTGTGTGTGTATCACCTGATATTATTCAATCAATACACACATAATAGCCTTTGATTATCTTTGTTATCATTAAAATAACATAAGGAATCTTTTAACAGTCGCCACATTGGTGATTTTCCCAACAACCCTTGTTTGGACCTTCTTGTTCCGGAGGGATCACTTCCTACCATTGTCGGATGTGTCACTACGGTTTTGGTGGAATGTTTCGTTTTGTCTAGCCATGAGATTTATATGAAAGGTCGGTGTGGAAAATCTTGAAAAAAATTAATCTTTTTGTGAGAGTGAATTTGAGGGTAAACATAAAAAAAATTCGCCTTAAACAGGGCTTTCTTATCTCACTCCCAAACAAAATCGTGTTGAGGATAGTGCTTTCAAATTAAACATCCTTTTCAACTCTTCTTAATTCATTTAGATGGGGAAAACTGGAGAGTGAAGATCCGAGATTTGTGAGTAGCAAGTTTAGGACAAGCACATTTCCAATTTGGAAAATGACACAAATGATCCCTGAATTTTGGCCCAATGTGCAATGTCGTCCATGAACTTTTAATTTGTTCAATGTGTCCCTGAACATTTGGTACATGTTCGATTTAGTCCCTAGACTATATGAAAATGTTTGATGTTATCACTGAACTTGAATCGATGGAAGGATAAGATTGGATGTTTTCATATAATATGGAGACTAGATTGTCTCTACTACTCATCGTGAAAATGTGCAATGTCTGAACATTACTGAGCATAAGCACAAAAGAGCTTTCGGTTGTTTCAATAAGGTTATTGCATAAGCACAAAAGAGCTTTCGGTTGTTTCAATAAGGTTATTGAGTGCCAAGTAAAATTGTTCTTTAAGGCTTCAATACCTATGTTTATTTTTCTAAGAGGAAGTTGGACGTTTGTATGTGTTTTCTCTCTCAAATTCGTGATTATTATTTTGTAGGCCAAGTTCATAAATTTATAGTACAATGGGGGTTCTTATATTACAAAGATTTTACTGGATCCTTGATTGATGCTTATGCAAAATGTGGGAGTGTCCAAACTGCTCATCATGTATACAGGAGTATGGCAGAAAAGGATTTAATATCACACACTGCCCTTGTTAATGTGCATATGCTCGGGAAGGTAAATATGGAAATGATTTCTTAAATGTCTTGAAGGAATTAGTATGTATGCAATCGGAAGTTGATGACATTACACTCTGCTCTATACTTCATATATGCGCTGATATAGCATCATTGTTGTTGGGACGACAAGTACATTGTCCTTGTTCTGAAACGTCTAGCCAGTAAAGATGTGGCCATTGGAAACGCTCTAGTTGACATGTACGGGAAATGTGGCGAGATCAAAGATGCTATTCGTGCTCTTGTTGAGATACAAGTGCAAAATGTCATATCATGGGCTTCTTTGTTTGCTGCCGATGGGAGGCATGGCTTCGGAAACGAGGCGGTTGCTCTTTATAGGCAGATGGAATCTAAAGGGCTGAAGCCAAATGATGTTACATTGCTATCTCTCCTCTTTGCTTGCAGCCATAGTGGATTGACCAGTGAAGGATGGGATTGCTTTACTAACATGATCAGTGAATACAGTATTGTTCCAAGAGCAGAACGTTTTTCCTGTTCGGTAGATCTATCTGCACGTAAGTGGTTTACGGTGTGTACTTAGTTGCATCCGGGTCTGTTAAGGGTATGGCAAATTTTCCCATTATTCATGGCAATGGTGACGGTTGGCAACATAATTGTGGACAAATTGATGTACTATGTTGTTGGTTATGACATTTTTCGTACTGCATATCATGTCCATGGGTTGCTTTGAACTTCTAGTGTTCATGAAAGAATATATTCAAATGAGAGAAAATCCACTATTGGATATGTGTTTACCTTTGGTGGAGGTTCTGTAACTTGGAAATCAGCTACACATAAATTGCGGGAAAAATGACAATCTTGCTAAATCTAAAATCGACTTGGTTGAATCGGATGACTGATAACGTAATTGCTGCGGTCATTCCCAAGCCAATATTGTGGCCAAGTGAGAGAATGGGTATTAAACTTTGTTCTCGCAATAGAGTTGAGTAGCTAAGAAACTTCCTAGCAAATATTCCATGTGAATGAAATCAACACCTTTGATGTCTATCTGTAAGACAGTTGTATATCGTCCTTAGACTGGAAATTACCCTTCACTGTCATATCGTTATTACTAGGCGAAACCAAACGTCATGTTCGCATAACAAATATTTTGATAAATCTGAAACAAGCTAATTGCTTTTCTTAACTATACAAAAATGAGACGTAAAATGAATCGGAATGGTGCCTCATTAATCAACAACCGATATCGACAGCAATTGGACCGATGATATCTTACTTTACTCCGAATTTGATTTTATGTGATCCTTGATGCAGTAGGTCTACAAAGGACTTATTAAGTGACTATGGTGGACCCTCGCATGCACACTCCACAGAAACAGCCAACACAAAATATATATGATTGAGCGAAAGAATTTTTCACAAATTAGTTTTCCGAGGTTTTAATCGTTTGGTTTGTTGAAAACGATTAGTTAACGGAAAATCATTTGCGATCAAAACAAATATGCATACTTGAAAATCATTTCCTAATTTGAAAAGGGGAAAACGTTTTCCTAAAAAATGATTTACTGAAATGCAATTTCTTTTGTTATTAAGTTTTTTCCGAAACAAACACACCGTAAAGTCCTTTTAGATTGATTCACATGGAATCCTTACAAGAATGCATGGTGCATTTGTTTCAAAGAAAGAGCTTTTCAAGAATTAATTTTACGGACTTTCATGTGTTTGGTTCGCTGAAAATCATTAGTCAATGGAAAATTATTTACGGTTAAAGTAAATATCAACACTTAAAATTAGAACGAATTCCTCTTTCTAAATAGAGGAAATCATCTTGCCAACCATAACAAGTCTTTTCAGGCTTTGCTCACTTCTTCACCTTCTTTAATACCTATTATACACCTTTTCTATATACCACCAAATAAATAAAAGCTAATCATTTCCAAATTTCCGATTTCCCTTCATCATGAACTTCTATACTAAATAATCACACCTTACTAGGCCAAAAAAAAAAATACACCTTACAATTTTTACATCGCGATTGGGCAGGTTTTGCTAGCACAACAATCTTTAGACGGTATGAGATCAGCCACAAATGTTGAAGGAGCGGATCCCAAAATAATTTATAATTATTTATTTTTTTAGTAAAAAATAGACTATTATTCTCGCAGTAAATTAAAGATCGACATTTAATTATTTTTTTCAAAAGAAGAAAGAAAAGAAATCATGATGATAAATTATCGATGGACCCACAAAATTAATGGCCATTATAACCATGATCAACGTGGCCTAAGCCTACCTAACATTCTTTCAACTCTAGGTGAAAATATCCACGTCCGCTTTGATTCTGCAACCGCAAGCGTTCGATTACGGTACGGCGCAACATCTATTTCACTGAGAATGAGCAGAAGGCAGCTAGCCAAGAACTCACCACCGCGAAAGAACAACGAAAGGTCAAGCAGAAGCATCAGATGGCTCCTTCCGACGACGGTGGTCACATCGTGATGCTACCTTTCATGGCTCACGGCCACCTGGTCCCGTTCCTCGCCCTCGCCAGGCGAATCCGGCGACGAAGCCGCTTTGCCATCACCATCGCCAGCACTCCTGTTAACGTACGCCGCCTTCGTTCCGCTGCCGTAGCAGACCCCACGCTTGCAGCCGTAGATTTCGCAGAGCTCGCCTTCCACGCCTCCGACCATGGCCTGCCGTCCGATGCGGAGAGCACCGAGAATATGCCACTGACCCAGATGGCGGCCCTCTGCTACGCGTCCCTGAGCTTGAGAGCTCCCCTGGAAAGCCTGGTCGCCTCCATCACCTGCCGGGAGGGTGGGCGGCCACCCGTCTGCATAATCTCCGACATTTTCTTTGGCTGGGCGGTGGATGTGGCCAAGGCCTTCGGGACGAGGAGCTACAGCTTCACCACTTGCGGGGCCTATGGGACCTCGGCGTACGTGTCCTTGTGGCTCCACCTCCCACACCGTGCAACAGAGTCCTGCAAGTTCGTGGTACCGGGATTCCCAGAACGATGCCTCTTCGACAAGTCGCGCCTTGTGGCGATGATCCGGGAGGCAGATGGGGACGACTTGTGGTCCAGATACCTCCGGCCTCAGTTCGAGCTCACTCTCAATTCGAGCGGGTGGTTGTGTAACACGTCCGAGGAATTTGAGCCGCTCGGAGCGGCCGCCCTGAGAAACCTGGTGAAGCTTCCGGTCTGGACCATCGGTCCCCTTCTTCCTGACGTGATTGTCAGGAACGACGACTCTTCAGGTTCCTTGAATTCCATCTCTGAACATCGACCTGAAAAGCCGCTTGGGATCACCCCGGACAGATGCGTCGAGTTTCTCGACGCGCACCCTCCGAGCTCTGTTGTGTACGTCTGCTTCGGTTCCCAAAACACTATAACCGAGTCCAACATGAAGGAGCTCGCAGCTGGGCTCGAAGCGAGCGAAAGGCCGTTCATATGGGTCATGAGGCCGCCCCTCGGGTTCGACATGGGGAGCGAGATAAGGGACGAGTGGCTGCCACCAGGGTTCAAGGAGCGAGTCACAAGGGTAGAGAAGAAGAGGGGGTTGCTGGTGAGGGACTGGGCACCGCAGCTGGAGATCCTGCGGCACGGGTCGACCGGGGCGTTCCTTAGCCATTGTGGTTGGAACTCAACCATGGAGAGCCTGAGTCAGGGGGTGCCGATCATCGGTTGGCCGATGGCAGGGGAGCAAGCGTACAACGTGAAGATGATGGTGGAGGAGATGGGAGTCTGCGTCGAGCTAGCGAGGGGGGCAGTAGGCGACGTAAGCCGGGAGGAGGTGAGGAGGGCGATCGAGGCGGCGATGGATGCAAAGAGGGGGAAAGGGAAGGAGTTGAGAGAGAGAGCCACGGGGGTGAGGGAGAAGATCAGGAGGGCAGTGAGAGAGGGAGAGGGGTCTTCAGATAAAGCAATGGATGAGTTTCTGAGGAATCTGGTGATGGCTTGATCGTCGTCGTCATTCAGTGCATGGAATGAGCAGTACGGTGGGGTGGAAAAGATGACCTTTGTTTTCGCGACACTCTCAATAAATTCATTCGACGCGTTGTTCTCTTCTTTTCGTCCTAAATTGAGACTCGCGATTTTGCTCTTTTTCGGGAGATCACCCAACTTAACATTGCTCTCACCTGAGCATGTTATATTAGAGTTTCAGCGCTAAATAATATTATTATCTCAAAAAGCTTCTATTATGAGTTATTTTCAGTTTAACATTTATAATTCAAAAACGTTTGACCCCCGTTCCTATGCAATTCGGTTCCTTGATAACCTTTCGTCATCATATAAGCCTGTCAGGAGCCGATCCTTATTCGGACCTTCTCGCTCCAGAGTGATCCCTCTCTACCCTTGACGGATGTGTCACTACGGTTTTGGTGGAATGTTCCGTTTGGTCAAGCCATGAGATTTATGCGAAAGGTGGGTGTGGAAAATCTTGAAAAAAATGGCAAATTCGTGGGTCAACATTAAATTTTTCTTCGCCTTAAACATAGGTTCCTCATCTCAATCCCAAACAAAATCGTGTTTACGACAGCGCTTTCAAATTGTACATCCATTTCAGCTCTTTTTACTTCATTTAGAGGAGGTCAACTGGTGAGGGAAGATAAGCGATTTGTGAGTAGCAAAGTTCAGGACAAGCACGTTACCAATCATCGGGGGAATCTGCGGGCAAAAGAGAACCGCGGCTAATTTCCTCTAGTCTGTCTTTCCTTTCCTTTCTTTTCTAATTCTAGATGTTTTCTTGACCCAAAAACGAGGAAAAAGCCGAACCCGAACCCAACCGACTCAACAAGTTTGATACAGGTTGGTCGAGTTTTTTGAGTCACGAGATTTTTTCTTGGCACTATATTGGTAAGGCTAGCAATTTGTGTTTACATGTCGCAATCATGATTTTGATTGGTGTCCAGCTCGCGTTAGCATAGCACTTCATAACTTCAATTCTATAAGCTAATTAAGACCTACTACAGAAGCATGTAGGCTGTTCTCGAATTTTTTCTCTGTGGTTCGTAAGTTCGATCAATCTTTGATTATTCCACATTTCGTTCATCTAAATTCAGTCTATCCCGATTCTTGAAGCATTAAAAAAACACACTGTGCAATCTCTACTTTCACGAAATTCACTCCAATCGAGGAAAGCACGTGAATTTTTATAAGAACGAGATCAAAGCACGATGGTTGAGAGTCGCATCTTGAAATTGGACCCTTGAATGTTAGAGAATTGGGTACGGTTTGAAAGATCATGAAGAACATCACTCTAGTATGCCACTATGAAGATTTTACAAGCTTGCTTTCGCCGATTGAAACCCTGTCAAAGTGTGAATATAATCCTATTATGAACAGAACATTGTATTCTCATTTGTGGTACATGGCACCGAATTTGTGATACCCGGGTTCTCAATGCAGCAAAGGGTACCAAAAATCCGGTTCCGGGGCACCACAAAAACACAAGTAAATTGCTTCAAACAAGAGATGGGCAGGTCGGAACTAGAAGCTTTCCTCTACAGAGCCACTGGCCACCTAACACAGTCCGGTCAATGATTATACCGGATCTCCAAGTCATGGGACACGCTCTAAAACTCGCTGTAGTGCCTTTTTGATTCCGTCCTGATCGAGCAATGTTGTCAATTGTATTTCTTGCACCTAGTATAAAGCAGGATCGGTTATTTCACTCTGAGAGAGAGAGAGAGAGAGAGAGAGAGAGAGAGCGACATGGGAAACTTACCTGCCTCCCAGCGCGAGCAAGAAGGATAAATTTCTTGTCTGTTGGTGGTGCCTACGATGAAGAAAAAAGATGCAAGGTCAATCAAAGCTTATAGTCCTGGGATGAACACAAATTATCACCAAAGAGGAAGAACTCACGTTGGAGAGCCAGAGTTGGAGGTCTTGCGAAACCACCCGTTTCTCAAAACCTTGTCGATTTATTCTCACATCCTCTATGCTGAAAAGAGGGGAAAAATGAGATAGGAACCTGAGATAACAAAATATGCGATGGAATGCTCCAATACACACACACATATATTAATAAAACAATTATTGACCTAGATAAGTATCCTAGATTTTCACCCAAAGCAAAGCAACATAAGCCATTGCCAAAGATTCTTTGCGTCTCCATATCTACTCATGTAAGAAATGCAACTACGTGCACGTGCCCATCACAGTTCTGCTAATCATATAAGGATAGTGTGGTGGAAATTCATCTTAAAATATCAGTGCATCTTATTGAAATCTTTAACTGATTCCAGAGCCCAGATGCAAAGGACTATGGAGACTACGATAGTACCCAGTAAGTTTGACACTAAGTACATTGGGTATTCATTTATTGACAAATTTAACTCAACTTTTGCCATTTTATACTCTACTAAAGTTTGAGAGATATTGGATCATACCCTTCCTCCCGTAGTAGTTCTTCAATAATTGTTTCAAGCCCAGGAAGAGGATCAATCTTGCTGCTGCTGTTCGTGCCTAAATCATCAGAATTAACTGAGCCATCCTGTAAAAGAATGGTAATTAGCAGAGGTCAATTAGAAAAACAAGAAGAGTATCAGGATCCTAATGAAAAAAAGCAGCAAGTTATAAACATAAAACCTGAGGAATCACTTTGTCCAGAGTTTCAAGAAGTGGATCCTCCTCTAACTGCTTCATTGACAGAGTAATCCTTGACTTTTCTCTGCACCAACTCAATCCAAACCACATAGCTGAAGGTCAGGGCCGGCCAATAATAGAGAGAGAGAGAGAGAGAGAGAGAGAGAGAGAGAGAGAGAGAGAGAGAGAGAGTATTGATAGTTAACTGAATTTTGAAATTTAAACTATTCCAGTTGATACAAAAAGTACATCGCAGTTTTTCCGGCAACAATAAACATGATATAACTAAATTGAAGCCTGTGAACCTCCAATTCACGATCATGTCGTAAATATGGTTGCTCATATAGTATCAACTGTCACTAAACTTCATTTCAGCATTGAATGACTCTTCAATCAATAATTAATGAAGTTGAGCATTGAATGACTCTTCAATCTGGACATTCTCTTTTTCTACTTGACCTTGACTTGGCATATTAAAGAAACCCCAATATAAAATGGCTGCAAAACATTTGTAGGATAAGAAAGAGAACTTATTAGAAAGGTTGTTGGAATTGTAATTCAAAGGTCTTAGGGGTCATCAAAGCCAAAAGTGGGAATCAACACCCAATTTAGGTGCTTTGAAGGATTCGTCATCCACAAACCGTGTCACAGTTGTCTAGAGTATCCCCCAGGATATGGCGACATATGCAAGTATTTTGCAGAAGACAACTCAGCACCAGAAGACAAAGGTTGTTCGATGATCAGAAGAACCCAGGAGAAGATTAGAAAAAAAGGGTATCTTGTCTTGAAAAAAACTCAAGAAATCTAGAATCATCAAGGAAATCAGAGGATCCTTGACACCAAAGAAATCAAGGAGTCTTGATATACCAAAGAATAATACTCAACTGATATCATTTTGGGATCTTGTAGCCTGTCTTTAGCCAAATCGGATCCATGATAACGAGTTTCAATTGTATGTCTCAGTATACAAGTTTACCATCACAGCAGAATAGACAATGAGAGAGAATTTTCTGTTTCACAAGATATTATTCTTCGATTACTAGTCCAAGAATCCATATTTTCATCAACCACACCTATTCCATCAAAATGACAACCACTTCTAGCTTTTCTTTGAATGCTCCATCTGTCCAAAAAATTGCAAGTTCTATCCCATTTTGATCAATTGAGATGCACGTGTGAGTTGTGATAGAAAAAATCCCACATCCAAGGCTCCGTTTGATTCGTGGAAAATGAATGATTTGGAAAACATTCCCTAAAAATGATCGATTTTATCGCTTACAAAAAAGAATGAACAAAAGATATTTCATTGTCCACAAAAATGTTTAAACATAAATTTCTGTCGGTAATGAAAACATCTTTCATTGACTAACTATTGCAAATATTGCAAGCGATACAAGCGATTATTTATAAGTACGTGTTTTCCAAATCATTCATTTTCCATGAAACAAACGCAGCCCAAGAATTAGTGTGGTGTAGAGTAGCTAATATGTCCTAGTTGGAACATAACTATTGACTTAAACTTGGTGGGTCCAACTATATATATTGAAGGATTCAAACTTGGGCTCTCTCTTGATGATTACCATGGGTGAAGGTCTCGAAGTTTTGCTATGCTCCCAACAAATGGTATTAAAGCCAATGGCTAATTGGTGGCCCACATCCAATGTGTATCTATGTTTAGTGAATATATCGAGAAAGGAATCTTGTGACCAATATGGTTTTCTGACAGCCTATATGGATTGGTCTGGCGAAAGAGACTTGGGTTAATGTGGGCGTTCTGGTGTAGCAACGTGGTCCTGATAGTAGCCTATATGGTTCATTTTGCTGAAAAAGACTAGGGACGAAAGTAGGCGTTGATGCGGTCTTCACAATGCAACAAAGTAAAGATTTAGATTGAGACATATAGATTCAGAAGGATATCTAAATTAGGGGGAATTGACCTAACACTGAGCTCATAGGTGAGAGGGAGATTGTCGAGATGCACGTGTGAATTGTGTTAGAATAGTTTCACATCAAAGAATTGGTATGGTGTAAAGTAATTAACATGGCCTAATTCGCATAACTCATTGGTTTAAGCATTTAAGTAAAGGTGGGTTCAACTGAATATATTGACGAGCTCAAACTTAGGCTCTCCCTTGATAATCTCCCTAAGGAAGGTATCCGGTAGCCCACTCTCAATGTGTATCTGTGTTTGGTAAATATCTCAATAAAGAAATCTCGTGATCAACGCGGTTTGCAAGCAACCTTCATGTATGAAACTTTCTCAGACCACACACCCCCCACCCACCAAACCAACCAACCACCCTCCATCTTCTCCCCTTCCATACACAAATAACCCACCCCACTCTCATGCGCTCTCGTATCCGGAAAGAGACTTGGGGTAAAGGTGAGCATTGTAGTGTAGCAAATAGTCTTGATAGCAGCCGTCATGGTTTAGTTTGGCAAAAGAGACCAGGGATGAAGGTGGGCGCTATTGTTGTGGCGCTCGTCACAAGGCAATAAGTGGAGATTTAAGTTGGGACATATTGATTCAAAATGATACCTCAATTAAGGAGAGCAAACCTAACATTGAGCTTACATATGAATGGGAGATTGTTGAAATACACGCATGAGTTGT